GCCCCTCCGGCCTGTGGTGCGGTGCGCGCGTGCGCTGATCCTCACCTCGGAGCAGCCATGATGGTGGGTGTTCTTCAGCGGCGCCGATCCCCGGGCGCGCGGTGGGCACGGCGGGCTGGGGGCGGGCTTGGGGGCCGCGGCGGCCTGGTACTAATGTCTCGCTTTGTGTCTCCCCGACTCCGTCCTCTCCCCCGGCGCGCTGGGCCCCGCCAACCCCGCAGGAAGGCCTGGACGACGGCCCCGACTTCCTCTCCGAGGAGGACCGCGGAGTAAGTTCTACCTCCTTCTTGCTCGCGGCACCCTCCCTCCCCAGCTTTGGCCCTGGGGTGGGGTCCGCGGAAGGGTCCCCGGCCGCGCGGCACCCCTCCCCTCCGGCCTCCTTTCGGTTTCCTCGCCGCGCCCCGCCCTTCAGCTCGTCCTCCCTCCGGGCCGCTCGGTTCTAATTTCCCCGGGATCCGCAGCCGCTTTCTTGTACCCCGCCCCAGACCCTGCCGTGGACCTCCTCCCGCGCCGAGTCGGGGTGCAGGTGAAGTGGAGGCCGAAGCTGGACTCCCTTTGGGGTCTATGAAAACCCATCCTCAGATCTTTCTGACAGCACCTTCAATTTCCCCTTATGGACCTCTCGAACCCACTCTCCGCCCACCCTTCTCTTTAAAACATCAGTAGTACAGGGCGTTCTAAGTTATCCTTTGCAAAGGGTTTTACAGTCACCGAGTCTTAACTCTTCTCCAGTATCCTGCTAGATTTTGCAAAGTGCTGCCAGTCCACGGTACCGTTACTTTTTAAAAATTGTTCAATTACAGTTAACATACAATATTGTATTCGTTTCAGGTGTATAACATAGTGATTAGGCATTTACATAACCTTTACTTTTCTTCATGTCCCCCAAAATACGTCTTTTTCAGAGAGTTCCCTTGGGAGTGTTTTGAGGTGAATTGTATTTCCCTTCAGAAAGGACCTTCAGGGCTCTGATTTCTCCCTCCTACTCTCTCCCCCTATTTGCCTTGCCTTAAGGGTGGTAATCTTTATAGTGTCTTGTACAGTGAGCGCTTGAAAAATATTGATAGATGATGATTGCAGCTCAGCAAGTTTCCATGGTGCCCGCCCATCTAACAGCCTGCACTTTAGTTTTCCATTTTGCTTTTACTTACTCACCTTAGGTAACGTGAGAAAGACATCTATTAGTCGATTTTTGGCAAGTGATAAAACATTCTTGTAGGCTATTATCGTTTTTTAAATAAGAGATATGATATTAGCTGATGACCTTTATAAAACTTTTGTAAAGATGTAGAGGGTGCTGCATACTTTTATAAATGATGAATTAATAAATTTCTCAGTTTCCACAAAAGCATGATTTAAAATTTTTAGTTGGTGCAAAGGCATCCTGTCAGATTTCTGGTTATCTAAAAATTGTATTTTCTGATTAATTTTAAAATGTGCACGTATAAATGTGTATATCTTCTGGGAGAAGACGAGTTATATGACCATATATAAATTATATTTTGAATTTTAAAGAAGGGGAAACCAGAGTTTTATAGTGAAATGAGACGAATTGATTATAGCATACTGAATTTTCTGAATATAAAGTATATGGCCTTTATTTAGATAACTTGTGTCTTTTTATGGAAAAGCAAACGATCTGCTCTTTTGTAAAATCTGACTAACATTCAGTAAAAGTATTAATTTTTTTAGTATTTATGTTGATGTGAAAAGTAGAGTATTTCCTGTGAATATTTGTGTTGCTGGCCTTATATGTTTGGTAAGATTTGCTTATGGATTTGGAACCACTTAAGTAATGTGTCCAAAAACTTTTTCGTGTATTACGAAATTAAAGGGAGAGGAACACAGAGAGCATGCCTGACCAGGAGGTTCTTGTATAATCTTGTAGATGAAAATTTTATTATGAAAATGGAAAAACATTACCATGAATTAGAAAACATTTAGAAGGCCGTGATGGAATATGTATACATGTCCAGTTCTTCCTATTTTTGTCCTGTGGAACTGGGTGAATCATAATAATTATAGCTGAGTACCACTAAGCATTGTTTCATTATATCGTCTCATCATCTTTGTGAAGCTTTTAGTATTCCCCTTTTACAGACAAGAAATCTTAACCTCAGAGAAAGTAATCTGAGGTCACACAGCAAGTGTAGGAGTGGGAGAGGTGGACTTCGAACCATGTTTCTGACGTCAGAGCACTTATTTCTCCAAGTGGCCTTGAAACACTTACATCAGAATCACCTGGGGTGTTTGAAAACCAAAAGTTTCTGGGTCTTTGTCTTAGTAAGTCAACTTCTTGAGGGGTCAGAAGGATAGATAACTACTTTTTAAACAAGCACCCAAGAAGATTCTTTTGTGCACTGAAGCTTGATTACAGCTGCACAAAGTCATCCTGCTGTTTCCTCTTCTCAGAAACAGAAATATCTGCCCTTTTAAATTTTGTGAATTACATTTATATTGTGCTTGGCCTGATAGAAATAGATTTCCATAATCAGAACTTTTGGGCATTGTACTTATAGTTTAGATTACTTCATTCAGCCTTTTAATAAAGAGAGTCTTGATAGAGGAAAAGCATGAAGTGCATATTTGTTATGAATTATGGAGGGGACATCACAGATTCAGAACTAATGTAAGCATTTCATACAAAGCAGCAAGTAAGCAAAATTAAAGTCAATATTTTTAAATACATTTTTAAGTAGCCTTAAATTTTCATCATGATATTTGACATAGAATCTACAGCCTTATGGAATATTGTTTTGTGAGAAACTTAAAAAGCAGACTTTTAATATACAATATTGAAAATTATTGGCCACTTTTTGATCTCTATATCCACACCTCTACACAATAGGGTTCCCCCTCACAAATGAAGGACAGTAACATTTTGTAAACAAATGAGCCTTCTTGAACTGGACACATTTTGCTCTGATGCGTTCCTTAAATAAGAGCAGTGGGTGTCCCTATAATGATATAACTCTTAGCATTTGATTTGAATTTAAATAATATGTTTATTGTTTAAAAATTACTTCAGGTGGAGTAATTACACCTCTCCTGGACTCCTAGCCTTGTTTCTCCCTCTGTATTCCTTATTTGCATAATGTCATCATTTTCCAGTAGTGCAGGCAAGAAACCTCTGAATCATATCTTTCATCCCCATATCAGTGCAGTCATTGAGGCGAGTTAATGGCACCTTGGAAATGTTTATCCCATCTTTCATTTGCATGGCCCCCGTTAAGGTCCTTGCTATTTCTTGCCTGGATTGTGGCAGTACCTGTCATTGGTCTTACTGTTACAATTCCTGTCTCCAGTCTTACTATGTTTCATTCCAGCCTTCACGTTATTTCTAGTTATCTAACTAAAATGATTAAACCATGTAGCACCGCTAGTCAGAAGGACTTACTTGGACCCAATTCTTTTTGCAGCAAAGTCCAAACTCCTTAGGCTAGCATTAAACACCATTCATAACCCTTTCAGGCTAGCTTCATTTCTCAGTATGTGCTTCCGTGTACACACACACACACACACACACACACACTCACACTCTCTCTCTCTCTCTCTGTCTCTCTCTCTCCTCAGTTTAAGACAATTCTCAACTGCAATGCAGAATGAAATCAACCCAAACACCATTTACCCTCTCTCCCTCCCTCTCCCCCCTCCTCTCTCTCTCCCTCTCTCCCTCCCTCCCTCCCTCTTCATACTGTAGTCTACTTGCCGCTGACCAGGCATCTCTAACTGCACTTTAATATCTACTTTATGTATGCTTTTCAGTGTTATGGCGTGCTTTTTTTTTCTCTCACCCTCTTTTTTTTCCACTTGAAATTTGACTTATCTTTCAAGACTTGGCCCAGATGTTTGCATATTCTTTTTTACCTATACAGCATTTAGCTTGAACACATTCCACATTTATTGATAGTTATTAGAGATAAAAAGGTGGCATAGATTGTATTGGCAAGGGATAAGATGAATGTTAGCAGAGGAAAAAGAGAAAGTTCTGCCCTGAGACCATCTCTGTGGTAAAGTGCCATAGGAGTACAAGGGAGAATGTTTAACTTTGGGGGAGGGGCAGTAGTGATGACATAACTACACCCTGATAACTACACAACGATATAGCATTTACTGCATGCCAGGGACTTTCCATATATTGACTCAATTCTCAAATCCCTGTGAAGTAGCTGCTACTATTACTCCCTACTTCAGAAAGGAAAAGGGGTTCAGAGAGATTAATTTGCCCAAGGTTATATAGCCAGTATGAGCTGGATTCAAACTCAGGCAGTCTAACTCTATCTAGGTTCTGGGCTCTTCACCACTATGCTATCACCTAAAGGAGTTAAGCCTTAAATGTTGATCAGGAATTTTGTAGGTTCTCAGGTAAGGAGAATGCTTGCCCGAAGAAAGGATAATGTATAGGTCATTTGGTCCTACCTAGAGCACTTGTTTTTACCGGAAGAAGGGATAGACATGGATACTACAGATAGAGTGTAAAGTACATAATGATAAAGACTTCAGGCAGTGGCAAGTCCTGAAGGATTTTAACCTAGGAAAGGTTTATGCTCAGGTGAAATTAGCATTGTAGATTACTTTGATGTGGAGAATGAACTGATTCTTCCTTTCAGAGAACAGAGAAACCAGTTAACAGGCTATTGTAACAGTCCAGAACTAAGGTAGTGGAAGAGGGGGGGATGGAGGGACATAGCAAAGAGAAATTTAGGAGGTAAAATTGACAGGGCATAGTGAATAAATACATGAGCTGGGCAGAGAAGGAGAAAAGGAATATAGAAGAGCAGAGTTAGAAGATAATAAGTTTGGTTTCAGATATGTTGGATTTTTAATTTTTAATTTTTAATCCTTTCCCTGCCGAACTAGAATGTCAGATCTGTAGGGTGAGGATTGTGTCTTTATTCAATCCCTAGCACCTAGTCAGTGGCTGGCATATTGAAGGCATGCTGTTTAATAAGTGAATATATCCAGATAGATGTCTAGTTGGTAACTTGAAATTATGATTGGGAACTTAGAATAAGAGGTCTGAATTGAAGATATAAATTTAGGAGTTATTAGTCAAGAGTGGCTGAAATTGCCAAGGCTCGATAGCACCAAGGGTAAACCAGCATTTAAAGCCCAAGGGGGAAAAAATGGACTAATTGACTCGGCTGAGGGGGATAGTAGGAAAATGAAAGAAGTCCCCGGAAGTTATGAGAGTTTTAAGCAAGTGGCCAGAATGATCACCAAGGCAAAATACTGCAGAGAGGTCAAGACTGAAAAGTATTGGATTTGCAAATTACGTGCCCACTATGTGAAGGTTTTGTGAAACCAAGGCTAGTCAGAAGAGCTGTGTATGAGCAAGTCTTGGAGGAGACAGGAAGATTAAATACTCAGGTGAACAGACAGCTCAGCCCTCCACAGGATACCACTTCTGAGAATGTGGAGAAGATGATGAGGCTAGATTTATTTGTACAAAGGTTTATTGATGGGTCTGAGAAAAAAACAGATGCTAGTGTTTCTTTCTTTGGGATATGTGAAGCAAGACCCTTGTTGAGAGTGCAGATTCCTGAGTGTAGGAATTTGCAAGCCAGTTTCAGTAAACGAACAATGGGATTTGATGGGACCAGCAAGAAAGATATTGGAGTGACATATCATGGAATGGACTGGAAAAGGAGAGAAGCAGAAAGGGGGCTAACAGACTGGAGATATATGGAAAGGTCACAAGACGAATTGATAAGATCAAATTGTACACATAGTAAAAGTGGTGGGGGAATGTTTTATTACATAAAATTGATTGGCTTCCTCACTACATATAGATTTCTTGAAGGCAAGGATTTTGGTTCACTTATATTTTCCACAATGCCTAGGACAGTCGTTTGCATATAAATGCTAAAAAAAAAGTTTATTAAATGCATATTAGTGTATTGTCTAAGGAGTAAAGTGTTATATTTGTATTACCAGTAATAAAACTTAGAAGGAGTGCATAGGTAGACACCGTTAGTACTAACCTGGTAATATTTTATTATTTCCAGTGTGGTTTGTGAGAGGAAATCTGGTTGCAAATGCCAGTTTTAACGTTCCTCTAACCACTTTCAGCAGCTCAAAATCTAAAAGCAAAGAAAGTTGATGTTTGAATTGATCCTAAATGTGGGAATTTGCAAGTCAGTTATGGCAGAAGAGCAATGGGAGTTGACGAAACCAGCAAGAAAGACATTGGAGTGACATGTTACCCTAGTAATGTTTTGTTGTTTCTGGTATGATAAATGAGAGAAAATCTGGTTGCAAATGCTAGTTTCCAGAAAATGTATGTATAATCAACCATTGATTTGACTGCTGGGTATACAACTCATAGAGTAATAATGGAAATGATGTATACAGGACTTCTAAAATCATAATTAGGCTAAGAGTTAAATAGAGTTAAAATTTGACTTGAATTAGTGAGCTTAACAGAATTTACTTCTGTCTGTGTCGTGGGGTTTTTTAGATTGTACTGTAATTACCTGAAAACAATTTCTTAGCCCAGTTAAGGTTTCTTTCTACTCTTTATTCTTTTCCATTCAACAGATATTATTGAAGGCTACCCCGGAGAATATAGCAATGAACAGAACAAACAAAAATCTATGTCTTAATATTCTAGTGTGGGAAAGACCATTAAAAAAATAAGTAAAATATTGTAGATAGTGAATAAGTGCTATAAAAAAATAAGGTGGAGGGGGCTGCAGTTTTAGATAGGGTGCCTAGGCAAGGCCTTAATGAGAAGGTGACATTTCAGTTAAGAGTTGAAGGAAATGAAGGAGTGAGCCATGCAAATAGGTACCCGAGGGGCAAAATGTTACAGGTAGAGGAAATAGTAAGTGCAAAGACTCCTGAATGGGGGCAGCATGGCTGTGTGTTCAAGGAACAACAAGGAAGCCATGTGGCAGGGCTGCAGTGAGCCAGAGGAATAGTAGGTTAGTCAGAGATGATGTCAGATGCAGATTATATAGGGCCTTGTGAGCCACTATAAGGACTTAGGCTTTTCTCCAAGTGGAAACCCCTTAGTTTTGAGCAAAAGAACGATTTCTAGTTTAATGGGATCATTCTGGTGGGTTTATAAGGAACAGATTGAAGAGGGAAAAGGGCAGAAGCAAGAGACCAGTCAGGAAGCTGTTGCTAAAACAAAGTTATTTTCCTTCTTTTTTTTCCTTTTTCATCCATCCATCTCTATACATTTGCTTTTCTGGCAAAAGACAACTAACATTTTAGGAATGTTCCAAGAAAGATACTTTATAGTAAACTATTCAATGTAGTAAACTAGTAGTGAATTTCTTTACTAAGTAATTAAATGTGGAGAATTAATCTACCAAGAAAAAGGCAGTGTCTGTAAGTTATTTTTCTAATGATATTGCATTTGTGTTGCTTAATCCATTTCTATGTCTGGTCTTTCTCTTGACCATGAAACATGTTTACCCCTAGTCAGTATCCAAGAAAAAAAAAAAAAATACAATGTTTATTGGCCCGGGTAAGGATTAAACCAGTGAATGAAGTCTAATTAGAATTTCCTTAGACAAACTGACCTCACAAGTTGCAGAAAGTAGTTAAATGTTGACGAATTACAAGTTATTGGCTTTGACTCTTTCTCGTAATAAAACTCTCTAAAATTATTGACTTTTTGCTAAATAAGAAAATCTGCTGCACATTTTATGTAATTAACACTAATTTTATAATATGTTATCAGATATAAGGTGCAATTGATTAGAAAATATATTTTCTTTCATAAACCACTAAGAAAAAAAAATATTGCCAGTAAAGCTGTAATTTGTCATCAATTGCCAGGCATCCCTATTTCAGATGTTAAAATGTGAAAATATGCATTTAGCTTGAAGAAATATGATAGCTTTCAGTGAAATATTTGTATTGACATGGGGGTGGTTTCATTTTATTGACTAGCTTTAATAATAATCCAGGATAATCTCCCTACCCCCAAATTCTTAATCTCACCTGCAAAAGTCCTTTTTTACCATATAAAGTGACATGCACAGTTTCCAGGGATTTGGATGTGAATATCTTTTGGGGAGCCATTATTCAGCCTATCACAATAAACATCTTAAAAGTGGCCTGAATGTGAGTAAAGATAAAAAAGGAAGCATTTCTTAAACTAGAATTACAGTAAGGGTTTGGAGAAGAGGTAGGAAGGACAGTATAAAGACCTCGTAAGACCAAATAGAAGCAAGAAAACCAAAGAACAAAGTATTCGTTGATGTTTCCAATATTGTAGAGGCAATGAGATACTTGGAAAATGAAAAAGAAAAGTTATTTGTAATTCAAGGCAACTTTTCATTTTATTTCTTTTATCAGACAATGGGCTAATTGTAGCATTGAGTACAATAACAATTTTTAAACATTTAAAAATTTTTTTTGTAAGTTTATATTATAAACTTTAAAAAATATGATTACTGATTGAAATTTAACTTAATGTAAACTTATTAAAGTTATCAATGGAATTTTTATTAAATGCAATTGTGCAATTTAAACAGTGATTAATTTCTTCTGTGAATCTTGAGTAAGATTTTATGTAATAGCACTTATTTTTTAAAAGCATGTCTACTTAGTCTAGAACCAGTAGTGCAAAAATGAAGTAATGTTATTTTTTTCATTACTAATAAAGTTAAACAACCCTATTTAATGAAAAACTTCAAAAATTCATCTTTCAATCACAAGATTTCTGCTTGAAGATGAATTTTTTCCTATTTATAAAAGTAATACATGTATATTTTGGGAAATTGGGAGAATAAAGGAATATATGAAGAAGAAAATCCATTGCTATTCACATTGCATTTTCTATAAGCCTTTTATGTATGCATTTTTAAAAATACGGTTGAGATCATAGAGTATAAACAATTTTCACATTGGAAATGAAATTTGAAATGCTAAGGACTAGGCGATATTGGCAAAGTAAGTTCTGGATTTTACAACTAGAGTATTTGAAGCAGGCTGGTTAGACTTTTAAGTATTTCATATCTTTGCAGCTGGATAAGACTTTATCTTTTAGTGTATTTGATTCTTCTGTAAGTCTCCAAATTACCCAAACATGTTAGAATGCTTATTTGTTTAAAGGGGAAGAAAAAATGAATGAAATTAAAGAATTATAAGTAGAATTATGATAAGAATTATAAGTGGAAAAGTCTCCTTATAGACAAATAAATGGAAGCACTAAATAGAGAACATACCATTTCTACTGTATTAAAGCTTATAAAGAGTGAAGTTTAATTTATATCACAGGAGTTATTGAGTACATGTTAGCATTTTTCTTAGCACTTCACATATATGTGCTATATTTAGCTATATTTAATAGTTTCATTGTATGTTCCAGAATTAAGTAATAGAGTTAAAATTATTGGCCAATACTTTTTATTTTTCTTATTCTTAAAGGTAGATACATTCCTTAATTTTAGAATACTTGAACTTTAATGGACCATTTTCTTGGAAAATAGTTTAATTTTGGGGTGAAATTAATGAATTATGGTTAATATAGTGACTCATACAAACCAAAGTATAGTCGGATGGTGTAGAATGAAAATTGGTTAAGATAATGATATACTCAAAGCACCTGACCCAAAATATATATGTAGATTAAATGAACTTTAGTACTTTTTTAGATTTACAATTTTTTTTATTATTTTAGTTTTGTTTTCTCATTATCTAGGAGAAGATAGTTTAAATAGTCCATAGAATTTTCATTATTGTTTTCTTTTTTTAGCTTAAAGCAATAAATGTTGATCTTCAAAGTGATGCTGCCCTGCAGGTGGACATTTCTGATGCTCTTAGTGAGAGGGATAAAGTAAAATTCACTGTTCACACAAAGGTAAATGTGATTTTATACTCATATTATTTTAGCTATTTATTGTGCTAATTAATGTTACATATGTAATATATTGACTGGAACTTCGGTTTTGAACATAATTAGAAATTGTTTTTTTAGCTTATAATTCACTGCGGCTATTTTTTAAAAGTTTCAGGAAAATGTACTTTTTAAAGGTTAGCATTTAAGAATTAATTATAGAACTTAGACATAATGCGGATTTTCTCTAGACCTGTATTAATATTTTTTATTGTTTTTAATTTTATTGTGTTCCTTTAGTTAATCAAATTGCTGTCTTACAAATTATTTTCTTTTTAGATTTCAGCTCTCAGGCACATTTCTAGACTGTAGACCTATTTTCCTTCGAATAGTTGAGTTTGATATATGTTAATAGGATAACTTACAAGTAATGGTAGCAGTACAGTATAATAAGAGGCTATCAACTTATTTTCTCAAAAGTCCCAGGATAATTTTGTCTGGCTGTCTTAGAGTTTTCTTAATAGAGTTTAAAAGCACTGCTAATCTTTCATATAAGACTAACTTAAAAAAATAAAATATGTTTATTAAAAGCTTTTTTGTGTAATTTTAATTTTTATTCAAGAGCATCTCTATCTTTGCAGAGTTCATTGCCAAATTTTAAACAAAACGAATTTTCTGTTGTTCGACAACATGAGGAATTTATTTGGCTTCATGATTCCTTCGTTGAAAATGAAGACTATGCGGGTTACATTGTAAGTGCGGAGGTTCCATTTTAATCCCATTTTTAGGAGCTTTTCAGATACTTTATTATGTGTTGAAACCTCGTAACCTCGTCAAGCATTTTCAGTGAACTGATGTAATTTTCAAAAATTGCCAGTTAACAAATGTAATTGGCTACCACCTTTTATCGTGAATTGTCTTGTTTGGGAGTGTAGGGGTATGGTTATGTTATGCTTTCTCATTTAAACTTAAATCCTTACTGTGTAATAGAATTGTAAAAGGCTTGTCCTAGAGATTAATTAACGGAATGTTACAAACCATACTGGTTTTGAACCCTTAGGTAGACAGATACTTAGACAGCTGCTTAAGAGGTTATCTAATTTAAATATGCACCAGATGTTGTGCCTCAGCTATTGACCACACTCAGATTTCTATACTTTAGTTTCATATGATGTCCTTGAAATCATCCTCACCTGATTCCATCTCCATCCTTGTGGCTATCCTCAGTCATTTGCTTCTTTTTCTTTCTGTAATTTAAAGTCTAGTGGACAACTGGCAATGCGTTTTTTTTTTTTTTAAACAAATACCAGTTTATATAAAGGATACAACTCAGGAACAGCCAAATGGAAGAGATACATAGGACAAGATATGGGGAGGGGGATTGGTACAGAGCTTTCATGCCTGGACCCCCTCCCAGCACATCAATGTGTTCACTAACCTGGATGCTCTTTTTTCTCTTCCTATCCTATCTCCACCTTTTCTTTCCCTCATCTTCTTGTCCAGTGGCATTTTCTTTCTTTACTTTCTCCTTCCATAGATTAAACACTCCTTAAAGATCAAGACCATGTCTTATTCATCTTTATATGCCCATTGCCCAGCATCATGCCTGGCACATCGTAGACGCTGTGTGTGAGCATCAGCAAATGTTGCCAGACTATACTTGATGCTTCCTTCCCTATTGTTTTCCTTGGAGTAACCATTTTCTTGTAGTCATTTTTACTTAACCTACTTCCCTTATCTTACCTGCTCTCCTTAATTTCTATCATTTCCCCTTGACAGTTCTTATTTATAGGCCCTTCCTCCTAAAATAATTTTTTTATTATTTTTCCTTCGAATGATATTTCTCTTTTAGATCTTTTTTTTTTTTAAGGTAAGTGTTTAATTACCATCTTATTGTAGGTGAATAGAATGAGATTAATCATTAATCTGTGTCTTGTTCTCTTGTTCTTAAATCAGTACTTTCTACTCTGGTATACTCCTCCAATCAAGGAACTCTTTTTAACATCCCTCGGTCAATCATATTGTTAGTATTTATTAACTTAAAAAAGCATAGAACAGCAGAGAGGTATTATGAATTCATTCATTTAAACAATACATTTGTATTTAATTTATACCATTTATATTTGCAAATGGTATGCATATTTGCTTACATATTTATTTAGTGTATAGTCAGAGCTTAATGTACATATATATTAGAGGACTCTAGGTTGCCACATAGGAATCTGCAGATTAAAGTTTGAGAACTACTGTACTAATACTAGAAAATAATGTACTACTGTTCTAATACTAGAAAATAGTGTTGTGCTATATTTTCCTCGTTGTAAAGGAAATCAGGGATTTTAACTTCTAGACCTAATCAGTCTCTAACCTGACTTGGTATATTCCTGGTACCCAGTTCTCATTCACAAAGTCTTTTGTGGTGGCTGTCATACAACAACAGCAGGAAATAAAGTAGTCTTTAAAATAAGTGATTTGGTTCTGTTACAGATCCCACCAGCACCACCAAGACCTGATTTTGATGCTTCGAGAGAAAAACTACAGAAGCTTGGAGAAGGAGAAGGATCCATGACAAAGGAGGAATTCACAAAGATGAAACAGGAACTGGAAGCGTATGTGATTTTTGTTGTTGCTTTTGTTGATTATGCTTGTTTTAACACTTTTTTTCTTTCCTTTTTTTTTTTTTTTTTTTTTTGTGCTCTCTGCTATCCCATCCTTTTAATCATTTCACCACAGTGACCCTTTCTGGAAGATGCAAGTTTAAGTCACACAACCAATGTTAATGATCATGATCAGAGCCTACAGGAAAATTATAGAATAATTGTATGCATTGTAAAATCCTTTAATGTTTTTAATAGACTCTGAAAATTAGTAATGGAGGATCCAAAATTTTATAAAAAGTAGTAGAAAGGGAAATAATGACTTTTTAAAGCAGAATAAATTATTTTGTTTTTTTATACAAGGCTTTAGTCATTACCAGCCTAATTCTCTTCTTCTCAACATTTGCGTACTACCAAAACTTCTATTTCTCATAGAAGTAAATGCTGAGCAACTCTGCATATATTCTGTTTTCTTTCTTAAAAGTAAGAGAGTGTGTGTGTGTGTGTGTGTGTGTGTGTGTGTGTGTGTGTAATTTCCCCCTTTTCTCTGCCTGTGGCTTTTGGCCAAAGGGAAAAGAATAGGAGCAAAGTAATAAGAGAATAGCTTTAAAATGTTTTTCATGATATAATTAGTTTTATATATACTAGAAAAGTATTAAATCTTTGAAAAATTGAGATTTCAATTTCATTTAGCATATTTGCTTAAAATACAGGATCTTTTTACCTTTTATTAAACATTTGAAGTAATTTTAGATTAGCTATATATTGTTTTTCTGTATTTTGAGAGTTATACAAGGAAATGCTTTTCTTTGCATTGTCACCTCCATAACACTTTCTGGTCATTTCTTACCTTCATACATTTCCTTTTCTCCTCTTCCACTTAGTTTTAGTTTCTAAGCATATATTCACAGTGCTGCTAGATTCCTCTTCAGAATGCAAAGCTCTCTTAACAAGATAAATTAGCAAAGCAGGTCTTTTGTCAGAATGTAAGGTGACAGATATTTTAAGAATTCTGTCAATGCTGAGTGCAAACAATGAGTCTGATAGCAGATATATACTTTTATAGTTTATAAAATTGAAAACTGGAAAGTAGCAGAGCACATTAATATTGAAGAATCTGTGGTTTTCCAGTGGCCCTGATCATGATTCTTTTGTGGTCTGGTTAGGGGTTGGATAACAGAGAACCTTGGGTTTATTCTACTGCTACCTCCATCCTCTGCATCCTTCTTTTTTGTCTTCACTGAATGACTACCCTCACAGAGATCAAACTTCTCCCAACATTGGTCCTGCTGGTTTGCTGGTATGTAAAACTTATCCTCCTTGCACGTAGTTGAAGCAAGAATATTGGGCCTTTTCCTTGAGTGTTTTTTTTTTTTCCAAACTGACATGTATTACTGTATTATCACTGTGATTCACTGATATTAAAATATTTTAAACACAGTTCTTCAATGTAATGGCAAAAATTAGTCTCTCCATGATGTGTTTCTCTCTTGTGTTTCTGGGTCATTAGATGAAAATATTAATGTTGAAAATATGCTTATTTAGGTTTGGGTTTTGAGATTTTTTTTCTACAAAGATGTTTAAAAGCAGTGAAATCTAGAAATCAAATCATTAAGATTGTATCAAATAATTTGTAGTATGCTTTCTCCAGGACTGAAAACAAATACCCCTGTAGTTACCTTTAACATCAACTTGCCTAGGAAGAAAGGTTCATAAAACTTTAAAATATTAACATTTAACTTGAATAAATGCTATTAACTAGCATGAAGTCTTTTCAGAGCTGGGTTTTATATATTAACAGTTCAACTAAAATCTTTGTTTTACATGTATTATATCTTTATATCTCTAATTTTGCATTTATAATAATTCAAAGAGTATTTGCTACAAATATTGTTGCAGATGATTTTCTAGTTGATGCAGTGTTTTACCTTTAATTTTGTGCATTGTTTCTAGTGAATATTTGGCAATATTCAAGAAGACTGTTGCAATGCATGAAGTATTCCTGTGTCGTGTGGCAGCACATCCTATTTTGAGGAGAGATTTAAATTTCCATGTCTTCTTGGAATATAATCAAGATGTGAGTATTGAATTGATTAAAATAGCGACCAACACTTATTTTTAAAGTCATGAAAAAGGTAGAGAGTAGTTAAAAAAAGCTTAAGGCCATCTTTTATAATGTTCTTATTTTTCAAGACAGTTTAAAATGACACTTTTCAGTGGCAATGCAGTATTTCAGTAGAACTTGAGCAAATTGAAAAAATGATGGAAAATCATGTCACTACATGGGACATTGATATTCATCCTGAATTGTGAACTTCTTAAGAAACGGTTATAAAATTGATTAATATTTCCTAAATTTGAGTTTGCAGTCTTCTGAAGACTTCTAGAGAATTCCAGGGAGGTGCTTGAGCTAAAGAATTTCAGATTGCTTTTTGGATTTTGATCTGTTTAACTCACCTTCTTCAGTGCTGATGCTCTTAATTTTCCTCCCTCCCTCTTTGCCTAAAAACTTAAAGTGCAGAAAGAGAGATTGAAGTGGTTAGGCTTTAAAGATTTCTTCATTCATAGTGCTGGCAAAAAAATTTTTAGTGAGTGGGTGACACAGATCTTGGGATTTATCTTTGGACGACAAGATGGTCATAATTTTAGCAGAAGACAAATGTAGCATAATGCTTATTTGCTTACAAGTCAACATCAAGATCAAAGAATTTTGTATATATAAATTTGCCCTTCTGACTTGTGACAATAAAATGTCTTAAGTCTAGCAGTGGAGAAAACAAAAAATTTTAAAGGGTATGAAGTAACTTAGGATCACAAAAGTATACCAGTTTAAGCATGGGTACTTTCACAAGCATAAATGTGGTATATGGTACTGGCATGTGGTCTTTTATAAATAGGAATTGAATGCTAGCTGTATCATGAATTATAAGAAGCTAAAAATGATTCATGAGTAGGGTTGTTAAAGAACATGTGGAAAGAACACATGATAGAATGCCGACATCACTTTTTTACCTTTATGAGTTTGTTTTTGCTGGACCTTATTTATGGCATGGGCTAAAACCTTAGTAATAATTTGGTAGAGCAGCATAGGCATAAAGTGAGACATGGTAGTATCAGTGCAAGGTCACTGGAGCAAGAGAAGCAGTAGCCTTACATTCCAAGTGGTCCATCCCATTGCCACAGCTTTAGAACTATCTGAAACTATGTATCTGTATTTTAAAAATTTGTTTATATATTTATTATTTATTTCCCTCTACTAAAATATAAGCTCTCTAAGAATAAGACTTTAATTTTTCACCACTGTATCCTTACTATTTTAGAATAGTACTTGGCAATTAAGGTGTAAAATAAATATTTGTTAAAACAATAAGTGAAAGATTATTAAATATTTAGGTCAGCTTTATAAATAGCTTTCATAAATCTTAGGATTTCATAAATTTTCTCCCACCAAGGTAGATTTTTCTTTCTTACAATATGCTTAATAAAGATGATGATGATGATGCATTTTAATAATCCTTTTAATATCAGCAAATGGCGTTTTGGAGAAAGCCTAAAAAGATGAACTAGAAAGTATTTTACAAATATTTTTTAATAACTAATAGCAAGTATATTAATAGGTTATAGATTATAGGCCCCGAAATAAAAGATTTTTCTCAATCTTATTTCTAATGCCGTTTCTCGGATCTTTATTCAATTCATCGGTGCTGGAAAAGAAATTAATATGTTTTGTTATCTGAGTTTCAGAGGGTCATGGACTGATGAGTTATTGAGGTAGTGCTAGGGTGTCTTGAAGTTTAAAAAGGCATATGGTATGAGAAATAGTCACTGCTATGAGAAATGATTGCCTTTAGTATTGCTTGACCTATGTAGCTGTGCACCTTCTCTGTTTCTAATATAGTTTGAGTCTCCTTAACAGTAGGTTAAATATTTAACCTATTTAACATCCCACCTGCCATTCAGTTCTTGTTAACGCATCAGTGGCCACACCCAGGACCTTGCCTCACGTCTGAGTTCTTTAACTCTAGTATTGTGGACTCCAGACATAGCCTTCTGTCTGACCGCTCTCTTCTTCCCTATTCCCATTTTAGTTGTTCTTGGACCTCTCCTGCATTTTGACTTGTCTTTGCTTTTCTCAGTGCTCCATTATTTATAACAAGGTTATGACTTTAGATAGCTCTCTCCCATTTTCCATGAAAGCTTTTTTCACCTTGAAGCAGTTCCTCTTGATCACATTCTCACCTAGTTCACAGGGAAGTAGAGCCAATCAGAAATCAAATCCCTGAACTTCCTATATTTCCCACAACCCTCAACCTCCTTGGCAGCCACACTTAAAGCTTTTTTCTTTTTCTTCTTCCTCTATAATCTAGGCACCTTTTCTTTTGCTTACCTAACTGGCTAGAACTTCTAGTACATTGTTAAATAAAAATGACAAGAATAGATATTCTTGTTCTGTCCCTGATCTTAGGAGGGAGGCATTTGCTATTTTACTATAAACTGCGAGTTTTTCATAAACGCCCTTAGTAAATTGAAGAAGATCCCTTCTATTCCTAGTTTGTTGTTTTTTGTTTTTGTTTTTTCATGGAAAAAAATACACCTGTTGAGATGATCATATGGTTTTTGTCTTTTACTCTGTTGATATGGTATATTACTTTATGCCTTTCCTTTTTGACTAAGATACCTTTCCAGCTATGCTGGATCCCATGTACTTCTGGATCTTTGGGGTCTCTTCTGAGTTTTCCTTTAACTCTGTGGCTACTTCCCAATATCCTTCATGGTATTTTCCTCCAGGTATTCATTTGAATCTGATTCTTACAAGGTTCCTCACAGAGTTCTCTAGAAGTGTAGAAGTTCCTCTAGACTTCCAGTTCCATAAATTATCTCTAAGTGATCTCATCTACTCCTGTGCTGTAAACGTATAAATCCTTAGCATTTCTGAGTCCCAGCTCTGTTTAGTAGACAGCCTACTAAAAGCTCTATTTAGATGTGCCCATTGGAATTTTACCCTCAGTTGAACTCTTTTATATTTTCTATTTCAAAGAAGGTACTGTCACTTCCTTAAAACCTGTCAGTTCCTTAAAACCTGAAAATTACCCATGACCCTTCCTACTCCCTGTTCCTATTAGGAGTCACCAAATCCTGTCTGTTTTACCTTCTTACTATATTAAGATATTAGGAATGTGTTTACTTTCTTCCACCACCAGAGCTAAAGATTAGTTTTGACTTTCATCATCTTTGGCTGGGTTATCAAATCTGCCCCTAAGTGGTCATTCAACCTTTAATCAGTCTGCTCTTTCTCATCCCCTAAGTCTGTGTTAATTTCCTTGGGTGCTCCCCTAGTGACTTGTGGATACCTCTAAGATTATGCTCCTCACTGTACCTAGTTATATACTTCTCTGTATTCTTCTCTGTACCATAAGTTACTTGAAGAGCAGGAACCCCCTCTTAGTCATCTCTGTATTTATTCTTAACACGTAGCACAGTGCATGACTGTAATAAGTATGTGTTTGTTAAGTAAATTAATGAATTAGTATTTTTTAAAATCCAGTAAAAAAAAAAAACAGTATATGTTGGGAGGTCTAAAGATGGAGCAGTGAATCCTAACTTAGAAGAGTTACGTGAAGTGATGACTTAATTTGGATGTTTAAAACTGAATAGCATTTCTGGTGGGAGACGAGGTAACATTTCAGATACAGGGGAACTCAGAAGTTCAAAGCTGCTTGAGAACTATTTGGAACATAAGGTTCTGTAAGGGTAGGGTGGTAGGTGGAAAGGTAAGTTGAACCAGATTATTTAAATACTTGAATACCATGCTAAGGCGATTGGCTTTCATTCCCTGAATTGTGAAACTCTGTAAAGTTATTGAGTAAGGAAGAGATTCTTAAAATTTGATTTTGGAGAGTTATCCTAAGCAGCGGAATGGATCAGATCGGGATGAGGGATGTTAACTATAAAGTCCAATGGTGGAGTCTAAGCAAAAGAGAATGAGCACTTTTACTCGGAGAGTGGGAATGTAAGGAGACAGATTTCAGACATTTGCTGGTAGAATTTGAGCTGTGAGAGAAAGAAGTTGCAGGTTATTTCAAGATTTTTAATGAGAAGTATAGGATTTTAGGGAATGTATGGGAGTGTGAGAGACTGGTTAGATGGAGGGACCATTTAAAGGGAACCAGGAAGAGGAAAATTTTAGAGTTTAGATTATAGTGAATACTGTAATCTAGTAAGTACCTAGTATAAGGTAAGCAGAATCTCTATGTAAGGATATGATACAGGCAATTGATCTAAGATTCAGGAAAGAGCTTAGAGGTAATGATAGAGATTTGTGAGTCATTTACATAAAAGTGAGCATTGAAGCCATACCCATAGATAAAGAAATTAAATGGAATGTTCCTCTATAGGATACCCTAATGCAGTCGGTGGTAAAGTCAGACTTAGTTGCTTCACAGTGTTGTCTTCGGATAACTGTTCATGCCACTCAAAGTCATCTTTTATATCCCTTGCACTAGAAGTTGCTGACTTCCAAAAATAGGACAGGAGATGATGTTCGGATGAGTTCAGAATGAAGAATTTGCAGAATATATTTTCAGAGCTTTTACAGAATCATATGATTATATATTGTATACCAGTAAATTTAAAGGAACTCCTGAAGTAAATTTTTAGTTATATTTATATTGTTTGGTAGTGCTTGACAGAGTATGATGAGAGGGCTACTTGCAACAGAAGTATCAAATACACTTATAACATCTCAGCCTTATTGTAGATAACTGAATCTGAATCTTTGGGGTGAGGCCAGACTTCTCTTTAATGCCGTCAAGTTTGGAAATCACTAATATACATGATGAAATTGCTACTTTATTAAATTTAAAAACTGTGAATGTGGTTCCATAGTGTAGCGGTTAGCACATCTGCTTTACACTCAGAAGGTCCTGGTTTCGCGCCCCAGGGGAGCCACAGTCCATGGTCTCCGGCCATGCCACCCTGAACAAGTCTGATCTCGGAAGCTAAGCAGGGTCGGGCCTGGTTGGTACTTGGATGGGAGACCACCTAGGAAGACCAGGGGCTGTAGGCATAAATAATAATAATAAATTTTAAAAAAAAACTGGGATTCTCTTGTGATTGTCATTTTGATGTCAGAATAAAGGAGACATTACATTCTATTTGCAGTCTAAAAAAATGCTAACTTTTATTTACCTTTCAGTTGAGTGTGCGAGGAAAAAATAAAAAAGAGAAACTTGAAGATTTCTTTAAAAACATGGTTAAATCAGCAGATGGAGTAATTGTTTCAGGAGTAAAGGTAAGATTTTATTGATTAACAGGACTATTAGTTTGAGAATTTACTCCTTTTAAGAGGGAGTTGGATTGAGATTTCAGATGTGCAGAAAATTATATTGGAGTAAAAGAGAAGTTTAGACAGTAGAATCCTTCAGCCTGAGAAAATGGGCCCTTGCCTTGGGTTCACTCTTCTTCAAAGGGTGAGAGGTCTGTAGGTCCAAGGGGATTTGCCCACCTGGAGCCCAAGCCCTTTCCCTCCAAACCAGACCAGTTATCTAGAATCTGTATTTCCTTGGCCAAACCCCAAGCCTTCTTCCAGGTCCTGTGTGGGCTTTTTCCCTGAGTTCATCCTCCAATGGGTAGACTGTGCCACTGGTGTGTGTACTCCAAGGGTGGTCAGGGAGTGAGTAGAGGAGAGGCACAGAGGAGATCACTGTGTAAGTTGGAATGTCCAGCTACATGCACTTGAGGTCCCTCTGGGTACCCTGCACAGCTGCAAGATGGGACACAGAGTGACTGCTTCTATTTGTACACTTGGCCTTGGCCTCACAAATGTTGGAGTCAGACCTGGATTCAGATTAGGAGTTAAAAGACCTTAGTTGAGGTTTTGTTCTTATCTCATAGTAGCTTGAGAAAAGTCTCTTTCTCTGAATCTCAGTGTTCCCATTTTTAAAATGTCATTAATAGTCTACGGCCATGCCACCCTGAACAAGCCCAATCTCATCTGATCTCGGAAGCTAAGCAGGGTCGGGCCTGGTGGGAGACCACCTAGGAAGACCGGGGGCTATAGGCATAAAAAAATAAATAAAAAAAAAATAAGGGATTGTAAGCTGACAAGGTCCTTGCAATCTGTGAAGTCCACCAAGGGTTTCCTCGCCTAAAAAATAAATAAAATAAAATGTCATTAATAATACTGTCTGGCTCACAGGATTGTTGGAAAGACTGGATGAGATAATACATGTGAAAATACTTAAAAAGCTAATTATTTACCTAAATAACACCTAAATTTTTCTTAATGATGTTCTGAAAATAGCACAAGAATTGATTTATCTGAAGACTTATTAAAGTATAAGAGGAAAATCTTACATTATCAAGCAGATACTAAGAAAGATATATAATGCTTTGTCATCATTACCTGTATTTATAGATACATCTACAATAAAACTTAGGTGTGAATTACTATTTATTTGATTTATAGTTTGATTTTTCAGAGACAGGTCAGTTGATATGCTGACTATGCATGTGCTTTTGCTACTTTCTAATAAAGACTCAGCTTATGTCTATTTTAATGCTACTTATGGACTAATGCTGAATGTTTTTCTTAGCATTTAGTATAAACCACTATATTGTTTATGCTTATCAATAATTTTATTAGTAAAGTCATAACAGTTTTTGAACATATACAGTGTGATGTTTGGTAGCCCACATTTTCTTATTTAATCTTTACTACAACCCTGCAAGTTACAGTGTTATCCCCATTTTTACAGTTAAGGAAATGTGCATGTGAATTACAGATTTCAAATGACATTTTGTCAGTACTAACTTTTGCTGCTTGTGTTCTGTTGATGTCAGTCTTGAATTACATCATTTCAGCTAGTGCTCTTTCAATAAACGATCTGTATTTTGGAAGAGAGAAAAGTACTATATTTTATTTTTAATATTTATCTAGCATTGTTACAAAAAAGATTGAAGACAGTGGTGAATGTGGTAATTGCTCCCAGATTGCTAGTTTGGCCAGGTTCTCCACAGTAGTCAGTGACAGCTCTAATGACTAAGGCCCGGCAGCCTTCAGGAATGGCCCATTGTATACTTGTATACTTAATAGACCAAAAGAAATAAACTTTTACTTGTCTATCAGAATTTTTTTCTCAAAAGCAATTGGTCACTCCCACTGGCAGTAATGTATTCATTGGAGTCCAGAGGCAGAATACAAATAAGAACACATTTTAAGAGTATAACGTGAACATGAACAATATGGGGAGCTACAAAACCATAGAAAATTCCTTGATAGATAGAAATGCATGTCTATTAAAGTTTGAACTTGGCGAAATCAGTATAACATCTGATAATTGGTAGCAGTGCTGTTTTACTGATTATCTTTTACGATTATAATAACAAAGTGGTTTACATGTTACACTAAAGCAAATAAGTGAAAAAAGTTCGTATTTTCTTTTGATCCTATAGGATGTAGATGATTTCTTTGAGCATGAACGAACATTCCTTTTAGAATATCATAACCGAGTTAAGGATGCATCTGCTAAATCTGATAGGATGACAAGATCCCACAAAAGTAAGGTTTTTCTCTGTGGCTAAAGCTTATATTTTTTTAATGGAATAATTACATACAAAGTTATTATGTTACTTACAGTTTGTAAAAGCCTTGATATAGAGGAGTGTTTCTTAAACCGTGGTCTATGAAGCCTTGACTGTAAGGCCCTTTTTAGCAAGTCTGTGAGGTCAAAATGATTTTTCATAATAATACTATGATACTTTTTGCCTTTTTCACCATGTTAACATTTATACTGATGATACAGAAGCTGTGGCAGATAAAATTTATGGTGCCTTAGCACAAATCAAGACAGTGGCACCAAACTGTACTAATAGTCACTGTATTCTTTTCCCTTAGTGCATTTGCAGTTAAAAGTGCTCAATTAAGAATGTCCTTGATGAAGGAGTAAAAATTATTGCTCTCCCCTGAGTATACTTTTTTATATGCTGACTGATGAAATATGAAGAAGGTATGCATAAAGCACTTTGTACACTGAGGTATGACAGTTTTCTCTAGAAAAGCATTTTAGTAATTGTGTTGCTGAACTAGCTGCTTTCTTCATAAAATACCATTTTTACTTGAAAGAACAGCTGACAAATTATGATTATTCAGACTTAAGTATTTGGTAGACATTATCTTAAAAATGAACTAAGTGAGCCTGTTACTTCAAGGAAAACAACTCACAGTATTTGTTAACAATGATGAAAATCAAGCTTTCTACCAGTAAGAATTTTTAAAAACTTGTCTCTATCACCATGAGCTTGCTTCCCAATAATTGAGGGGATTGATGATAATGTTAGTGAATGTGATATCTTTAATATTGTATACTGAAATATGTTAACATTTCATAAGTGTGTCAAGATTTGCATAATTCATTGACCCAGTATTTTCTAAATGATCCAAGTGCATGATGTTACAAAGTCATGTATGTAAAAGATCCATTCAAAGTGCAAGATAGACTAAAGGGTTTTTTTAAACAGCTTTATTGAGATGTATTTGACATATAAGATGCAGTGTTCAGAGTATACAATTTGATGTTTTGACATGTGTGAAACTGTCACTACAGTTAAATGAATGCCATTTATCATCTATCACCATCTATCCATCACTACCAAAAGTTTTCTCTGTAGCCCGTCGTAATCCTTCCCTCCCACCCCTGTCCCCAAGCAGCCGCTGATCATTCTGTTTCTGTAGGTTAGTTTGCATTTTCTAGAATTTTATATAACTAGAATCACACAGTATGCACACTTTATTGTCTGGCTTTGAAATTCAACAAAATTATTTTGAAATTCATCCATGTTGTATGTATCAATAGTTCATTCCTTTTCATTGCTGAGTGGTATTCCATTTTATGGATATACCACAGTTGTTTATCCATTCAGCTGTTGGATATTTGTGTTGGTGCTAGCTTTCGGCTATTATGAATAAAGCTGACATGAGCCATCTATATGTCAGTCTTTGTATAGACATGCTTTTATTTCTTTGAGTAATACCTAGAAGTAGAATGGCTGGGTCATGTGGTAAGTGTATAATTAACTTTTTAAAAAATTGCCAGACTTTTTTCCAAAATGATTGTACTATTTTACATTCCTACCAGTTGTACATGAGAGTTGCTCTTCATCCTTGTTCATCCTTGTCAGCAAGGATAATCAGTCTTTAATTTTATCCATTCTGATATATCAGTAGTGGTATCTCGAGGTGGTTTTTATTTACATTTTTGTAATGACTAACAATGTTGAACATCTTCTCTTGTGTAAGTCCTCCAACTTTATTTTTTATCAAAGTTGTTTTGGCTCCTCTAGGTTCTTTATGCTTTCATGCGGATTGTAGAATCTATAGATCAATTTGGGGAAGACTGACATTTTAAATTGATCTTCTAATACATGAATATGGTATACATTCCATTTAATTAGTTCTTTAAATTCTCTCAACATTGTTTTATAGTTTCCATTGTACAAATCTTCCACACGCTTGGTTAGATTGATTCCTAATTATTTTTGATGCTATTGTAAATTATGTGTTTTTTACATTTTAATTTCCAGTTCTTTGCTAATGTATAGAAAGTAATACAGTGTATTTTCAATATTGATCTTATATCTTAGAACCTCACTAAATAAACTCACTAGTTCTAGTAACTATTCTGTAGATTCCTTAGGATTTTCTGCATAAATGATCATCTGCTATTAAAAACAATTATACCTATTCCTTTCCAATTTGGATGCCATTTATTTGTTTTCCTTGTGCCAGTGTACTGTAGCTCTCTCCTCCACTACAATGCCGATAGAAGTGGTAAGGTGTCTTTGCCTTGTTCTTTTACCTTATGGGAAAAGCGTATGGTCCTAAATCATTCATTATGATGCTAGGTGTAGGTTTTTCCTAGATACCTTTTATTAGGTTGAGAAAATTCTTTTAAATTCCTTTTTTTTTGAGAGGGTTTTTCAAGTCAGGAATGAATGTTGGATTTTGCTCTTTTTGCAACTACTGAGATAGTCATATAGTTGTTCTTTCTTAGTCAGTTAATACAGTTAATTGCATTGGTTGACTTTTCAGATGTTAACTTTATATTCTTGGGATAATTATCACTTATACCAATGGAATTTAATGGAATAAATTACAGAAAGTTTATTGACAGGATTTTAGATTCCCCATTGTACTAACCCTTAAAGAAACTACTACTTGTTGAATTTTGGTGTGGTATCAAAGAATAATATCCACAATTATCTGGAAATACTAGTAAAAGACTTCTTGCTTTTCCAGCTATGTATATCTGTTTGAGCCTGGATTTTCTCCACATACTTGAAGAAAAGCAATTTATCACAGTAGATTGAATGCAGAAGCAGATAAGAGAATCCAGCTGTCTTCTATTAAGCCAGACACAAAAGAGATTCACAAAAATGTAACAGTGTCACTCTGCTCATTAATTTAAAATATATATAGTTATTTTTCATTCAAAATGTTATTTATATTAACATGCAACGGTTTTAATGTTACTTTAAAATGAAATACTAAGTAAATTTTTTTTACTTAAAAAAATACAGTACATATTGATAAATATAACTCACATAAACAGAAACTCTTTAGGGTCCTTAGTATTTCTAAGAATGGAAAGGATTCCTAAGACCAAGAAGTTTGAGAACCTCTGATATAGAGACCAGTCAGTAGGTACCTAGAACTGTGACTCTCCATTTTGGAATATTGTTACATGCTGTAATAGAAAGGAGGAAATAAAGTCTTCGGCTTGGTAACTTCTATTCTTATATCATTCTTCTGGAGGGTTAAGAGTTATTTTTGTATTTTATTTTCTTATATCTTTGTGATTTGCAGATTTCTTATAATGAAGTAGTGTTTTATACTTGCTTGTTCAGTAATTAAGAACTATAAAGTAAAAGTGTGTGAAAGTTGAATTTCTTCCTAGATTCTTTACTAATTTGCTTCAGAGCCTTGGACAAATCACATAATTGGTCTTGTGCTGATTTTCTTGTTTATAAAGTGACATTAAGGATAAAATATGTCATACTTTACTTTTCTATTAAGAAAAACTTTGTCCTAGCCCATCCTCTCCCTGCCTCTCCAGCAGGTTCTGCATTTACTTTCCTAACACACCCAAAGTCACATAATGTACACTGTGGGCTCCAGCTGTGCCCTGTTTACCTTCCTGGGAAACCCCACACTTCTGGACCAGGGCCCCCAAAACAGAAAAACTGTGTAAACATGAATTAATACATACTAGTGTTGATTGTAATAATTAGGAATACCCTTTAGTTTAGATTTAATGATTTAAAATGGGATTCTGCTATTTTAATTTCTTAAAGAATTATTTATTTCATAAACATTGACATACAGCATCTATTATGTGCCAGCCATCATATTAGCCATTGATGATTTCAAGATGAAAAATTTAGTCTTTGCCCTTATGTAGTTAATAATTTTGCAGGCAAGATAAACATGAAAAACAAAAGCTTACAATATATTGTAATTAGTCCTGTGGTAGGGGTGCATATTAATGCTATGGAAACATGAAGAACTACAAAGATAATCATCTGTTAAGAAAACTAAGGAAAATATTAGTGATTTTAATCTTTTTAGCCAAATGAGATGGTTAAGAGAGATGATAGTGAAATTATTTTACAAAATTATAAAGTAAAAACTTTTTTCATAATGAACTTAGCCTGGACTATGAAAAATTAAGCTTTTCAACACAGGGCAGTTTGCTTTATTTTTTGTGATCATATAATGACATAGTAGCTAAAGATAGTATTCTCAGAGCCAGGTATTATTAGAATCCAGGAACTTCTTGTTCTGAAAAATAATTTCAGGGTTAGTTTAAACATAAATACTAATGTATTTGGTATTAAACACAAAAATCAATTTTGAGACCTACCTTGAAAAACCAACCTTTAAAGTGATTTTTAAGTTTCTTTTTTAACTTAAACTTTTAGGCTAAAATAATAGTGAAGAATCTCACATATAGAAGTTACCAGTTTTAGAGTTTGGAGTTTGTATTCAAAGTTTCTTTATAAAAGATGAATTTCAGTCTTATTAGTTGAATGTAATTTTGTACAACATAAGGAAGTATAATGTAGGGGTTACTGTTTCATTAAGGAATAAACACATATTAAAGCCTTGTAAAAATACTACTATTATAAGTGGAAATTTTCATACAAAATAGACATGTCTTGGATTTCATTAATAATGGTAAAAATTTATGTAGTACTGTATTTACTATGTGCCAGGTATATAGTAACATTTATTAACTTTTAATTCTTCAAATAATAATATGAGGTGAGTACCATTATTATCATCATTTCCAGATAAGGAAACTGAGGCATAGATAATTTAAGTAATATGCCCAAGGTCATATAGCTGGAGAATTGGGAAGCTGAGATTGGGTCTTAGTCCCATGGTTCTATATCCATACTCTTGACCTTTTCATTATACTATCCTTTCTTGGAACCAAATAAAAGCATCTATTATAATTTTTCTCAACAAGTACATTGTTCTGTGGGGCAAGCCCTAGGAAGAATATTGTGCTGAAGTTGAATACTTTGATTCCTAGTACCCAAGTGTAATTGTGCCATTGTTCATCTAGCTTCCCAAGCTCCATGATTTCCCCCTCCTACCTTAGGTCTGCTGTTTGTAAATCCTATCTATTACATTTTCATTTTTTTTTTCCTATGACATTTTCTAAAAATCTTTTAGCTTTGTTAGTTCCTCTCTGCTCTTCCTGTTCCCACTATCTTGATCCTTGCCTTCAGTATCTGATGCAACATTCCTAGTTGGTTACTCTGCCTTCTATGTCTCTCCACTTCTAGTCTTTACTCCAAGAAGCAGTATTTTTTTTTAATCTAAAATCTTTTATCAGATTGATTTCACCACTATTTAAAAATTTTTAAAACACTCATTGCTACAAGATCAAATCTAAACTTTATTATGGCTTACAAAAACTTTTTCCCTAAGATGTTTCCAATTTTTTTTTCATCTTCAACTACATCTACTCCCTCTCTATACCTTCCAGTGCCATAGTCTCAGAAGGTTCTCTTGAGTATACTATGCTCTTATATGCCTCCCTGATCTTTATCCATGCTCTCCTCTTTATCCAAAATGTCCTCCCCTCCATGTTGCCTGGTAAAAATTTGCTGATCTGATCGTACAAGCTAAAACACATTCTGTAGTGTCTATAGATCCTTTCCTGACTCTACTCAGGTGGAATCTCACTGTTTCCCCTGCTCCCAAAGTAGTTTGCACCTATTTCTAATATAATACTATATTATAGTTTTTCTCATTTCCTTCACTAGCTTTGGGTATCTCATATAACATACACATTATTTGGCAGGTAGGTATTTAATAAGTATTTTTGAATCAATGAATAAATATATTAAAATTTAAAAACTTTTTCCATAGGTGCCGCAGATGATTACAATAGAATTGGTTCTTCATTATATGCTTTAGGAACTCAGGATTCTACAGATATATGCAAGTAAGGATTCTGATTAAAAACATATAAATAAAAATTTTGTTGACAGCCTAGGTACACATACATTGATAATATAAAGCTTCTTTATAAACTTAAGTCAGTGTCAGTTTTTCTCTTCCTTTTCTCTTTTATTTTTTTAAATTTGAGAAATAAAAATGGACCATAATATATACATTTTTAACCTTTACAAAGTTTTATTTGATGAAAATGGGCTCTGTGTGTGTGTGTGTGTGTGTGTGTGTGTGTGTGCAAGAGAGAGAGAATTTGTGTCAAAATGTTCTTAGGTTTTGGTAAAGTTTATTATAAATTTAAAATGCTGTTTGGAATTAGAATATATATGTGTGTATTTCATTGAAGACCAAATTGACTTAAAATAAAAGTTGATGCTATCAGTTTGTACTTTTTAGCAGTAAAGTTTATTATAAATTAAAAATGCTGTTTGGAATTAGAATATATATTTGTGTATTTCATTGAAGACCAAATTGACTTTTAAAATAAAAGTTGATGCTATCAGTTTGCACTTTTTAGCGGCTGCCTATTTATAATTTCATGAATGTTAGGGCAGTCAGATGGAGAAGGTATTGTGCATGTTAGTATAGAAATGCTCTCTAGAAGTTCACTTACACAGCTATCCTTAATTCACTTTATGCTAGTGTTTTACTTTAATTTTAATCTAAAGATAGTTAATCATAGTTGCTCCTATAACATTGTTTAAATCTCACTCTTCATTGAAAAATAATTCAAACTTTTTAAAAAATGTTGAGTGGGAAAGCTATTTTCATAGTTTATGCCTTTCTCTAAACCACATCCTTGAACGTTTCACTGGTATATCTTCTCCGTAGACATGTAAGATCCAAGTTTTTCAAAGCAAGGTGCTATAGCTTACACTAATTAGCATGCTATCTTCCCAAAGAGTTAGTTCTTAAGTCTTTGATAAGAAAAATGTCAACCTTGCCATGTGTTAGCTTATATAAACCTGTCAACGCAAGTTCTTTTTAGTAAAACAAAGTTTATAAAATTATGTTCTAGCTTTCAGTAGTAATTATCCTAATCCATTTATGTCATCTGTAATTACATATTTCATAAGATACCCTTTAATAGCTTGACATTGGGATATTTTTTAGTTGGTTGTTAGCATTTGAGAGAGGCAGATAAAAGTGATAGTGAATTCTGAGATAGAAGTTGGTTATTCATTTGTCATTTTCCAAAACAAAGCAGCTCTATTTGAAAATATTTACAATATATAACTTCAGATATCTTCAAGAACTGCTCAAACTTCAGTATTTTCCTTTTAAATCAGCCTTTTGTCTCTTTGCATGTGATTGTACTTTTGTAATAATTTTGAAGGTATAGGTTTTATTTTGTAGCATATTACTAAAGACACATTTTTAGAGTTTTAATGTATGGCTTAGACTTATCTTGATATGAGAAGATTTTCTGTAACAACAGATTTCAAGTAATCTGTTATGTGTGGAAGTACAGAGATTTTTGTTGAACTAACTGAAATAAACAAGACCATTAAATATTATTGTAATTAAATAAGAACGTGTTAATATAGTTTTGGGGGCATTATTTATTCTCTGAACAATTGAAATGGAAAATTATTTAAAAGTAGCTTCTGATGAAATATTTTTCTCTTCCAGATTTTTTCTCAAAGTTTCAGAACTGTTTGATAAAACGAGAGTAAGTATTGTTAATTAATGTCTGGTAATCTAAATCTCTGTATACAGTAAGTAGTGTATAACTTGTGGCTTTGTTTAACTACATTGAGGAAGTTGAGTTATACTTCAAAAGGATGAAGAAACAGATTTAGATTTGAAAATTTGAGTTTTGTTTTTGTTTTGTTTTGTTTTGTTTTCCAGGAAATTCATGGATCAGTCCTAGGTATAATCGTATTTAAAATTTTATCACTTGATAGAATAGCAAAAATGTTTATTAGATTTTTAATGGTACTTAACTGAGAGTGGTGATGTCTAGTCCATGTAGAAATCTGATTTCAACATACCTTTTCAGTTGAGTGATGTGTAGTGGAGACAAAAGAAAAAGAGATATTCTCTCACAAAGGAAAAGTCTTTAAATATATAAATGTTGTTATACTAGGATCCATGTAGCTCATTATTCTGCTTTTGATATTTGTACCAATGAGCATTTTATGGGAAGATAGAGGTTTTTTTGAGTGCATTTACATCGTAAGAATAGGGATATATAACAAAATAGCCTTATGTGTTAGTTCTTTCAGAAGTAGATGTCAGGATGGGATTTGTGTCAGTTTTGAAAATACATTCTAGGAATCACTTGCTGTTCTTAGGTGATAGGTTTTATTTTATTTTAATAATTTTTTATTTTTCAATTACAGTTGACATGCAATATTACATTAGTTTCAAGTGTACAACATAGTGATTAGACATTTATATAACTTAGGAAATGATCACCCTGATATATCTAGTACCCATGACACTGTACATAGTTATTACAATATTATTGACTATATTCCCTATGCTACACTTTACACCCCATGACTATTTTGTAACTACCAATTTGTACTTCTTAATGCCTTCTCTTTTTTCACCCTTCCTTCCAACTCCCCTCCCATCTGGCAACCATCAAAATGATCTCTGTGTATCTGCGAGTTTTTCTCTTTTGTTTGTCCATTCATTGTGTTTTTTAGATTCCACATACAAATGAAATCATATGGTATCTGTCTTCCTTATTTGTCTGACTCATTTCACTTAGCATAATACCTTCTAGGTCCATCTATGTTGTTGCAGATGGAAAGATTTCATTCTTTTTAATGGCTGAATATTATTCTGTTGCATATATATATCACTTCTTCATTATCCATTCATCTTTATTGATGGACACTTAGGGAGCTTCCATATCTTGGCTATTGGAAATAATGCTGCAGTAAAATTATGGTTGCATATGTCTTTTCAAGTTCACGTTTTGGATTTCTTCAGATAACTACCCAGAAGTGGAACTACTGGGTCCTTCTTTGTCTCTTGTTATAGGCTTGTTTTAAAGTATTTTGTCTGGTCTAAGTATTGCTACTTCAACTTTTTTTTATTTGTTTCCATTTTCATGAAATATCTTTCCATCCCTTTACTTTCAATCTGTGTGTCTTTCAGTCTGAAGTGTCTCTCGTAGGCAGCATATGTAAGGATCTTATCCAGCCACCCTATGTCTTTTGATTGGAGCATTTAATCCATTTACATTTAAAGTAATTGTTGATATGTAGTTATTGCCATTTTATTATTGATATTTTTATATATTTTTTCTTCTTCAGGAAGTCACTTTAACATTTCTTATAATACTGGATTGGTGGTGATGAACTCCTTCAGCTTTTTTTTGTCTGGGAAGCTCTGTATTTGTCCTTCAATTCTAAATGATAGCTTTGCTGGGTAGAGTATTCTTGATTATAAGTCCATACTTTTTATCACTTTGAATATTTCATACCACTCTTTCTGACTTGCAAAGTTTCTATTGTGAAATCAGCTGACAGTCTTATGGGAGCTCCCTTGTAGGTAACTAACTGCTTTTCTCTTGCTGTTTTTAAGATTCTCTCTTTGTCTTTAACCTTTGGTATTTTAATTATGATGTGTCTTGGTGTGGGCCTCTTTGGGTTCATCTTGTTTGGGACTCTGCGCTTCCAGGGCTTGTCTATTTCCTTCACCAGGTCAGAAAAGTATTCTATCATTTCTTCAAACAGGTTTTCGATTCCTCGCTTTCTGTCTTATTTTTCTGGTACCCCTACGATGTTGGTACGCTTGATGTTGTCCCAAAGGCCTCTTAAACTATCCTCATTTTTTTGGATTCTTTTTTCTTTTTGCTGTTCTGATTGTTTTCTGCTACCTTATCTTCCAAATCGCTGATTTGATCCTCTGCTCCATGTAATCTACTGTTGATTAATGTATTCTTCATTTCAATTATCCTTCCTTCCTGACTGGTTCTTTATGTTTTCCACCTCCATCTTTATGTTTCCTATCTCTTTATTGAAGTTCTCACTGAGATCTTTGAGCATCCTTATAACCAGTGTTTGAACTCTGCATCTGATAGAATGCTTGTCTCCATTTTGTTGAGTTCCTTTTCTGAAGCTTTGTTCTGTTCTTTGATTTGGGACATGTTTCTTTGTCTCCCCATTTTGGCTGCCCCCGTGTCTGTTTCTATGTATTAGGTAGAGCTGCTCTGTCTCCTGGTCTTAATAGAGTGGCTTTATATAGTAGGTGCCCTGTGGGGCTCAGTGGCACAGTCTCCTTGGTCACCTGAGCCAGGTGCTTCAGGGGCTAGAATCATTTATAGGTTTTTTCACTCATATGTCTGGGGTTGATACTGACTGTCAGCTGGGACTTATGCTAGGGCTGTTGACTGTAACACCTACATGTGTTTTTTCTATGCAGCTGCTTAGGCTATCTCACAACATGGTTGCTAGGTCCAAAATGAGCATCCCCAAAAATGAGAAATGGAAGCTGCTAGTTTTATAAGTCCTGAGCCTGAAAACTGGCACAGCATCACTTTTGTATTAGTCAGGCAGTTTTAGAGCTCAGATTTAGGGGGAGAGGCACATACCCTACTTTCTTAATGTAAGGAGAGGAACCATATTTAAAAGCACCCAAAGTCTAGCATGTTATTTAAATCCATCTAAATCGATTTATCTAAGTCAATTTTGAATATACTTTGTGTCTATGTTCTTATGTTAGATTAAGAAATTCCATAAGTTTATTTCTCCATAAAGTAATATTTTTTAAGAAGCTTCAAGTTTTTCTAACTTTGTGTTGAAGTATATTATACATAGAGGAAAAAGCACATATCACAAGTGTACATCTCAGTGAAATTTTACAAATTTAACACATCCACGTAATGACCATCCAGATCAAGAAAGGGGATATTACTAGCAACCCAGTTGCCTGTCCCCCTTCAACTACCTTCTGAGTCACCACCTCCTGTAAGGGTAACCACTATCCTGGCTTCTAATGGCATAGATTAGTTCTGTTTTCATAAATGCATTGTGTAATATGCACTCTTTTCTATCTGGTTTCATTTACTCAATATTATATATATACGATCAATCCATATTGTTGCATGTAGATATATTTCTTTCATTCTTATTGATGTATAGTATTCCATTACAAGAATATACCTAAATGTATTTATCTGTTCTGTGGTAGGCATTTAGGTAGTTTCTAGCTTGGAGCTCTTTGCGGATAGCACTGCTTTGACCATTCTTGTATCACTTCAGTTGAACATAAGTGTACCTTTCTTTTGGGTGTAGCTAACTAGGAGGGGAATTGGTGGATCATAGAGTATCTGTGTGAAACACTTTCATAGATACTGCCAAACTGTTTCTCAAAGTGATTGTACCAATTTACATTCCCACCAGCATGAATACGAGTATTGGGTTGCTGCACATGCTGTACAAGCTTGTAATAGTTGGTATCTTTTCTTATTTAGTCATTCTGGTGGTTGTGTAGGGTTGTATTTTAACTTTTTATTTTGACAGTAATTTCAGACTTACAGAAAATTTGCAGAAACAGAAAAGTTGCAGAAACAGTACAAAGAATTCATGTACATGCATCACCCAGATTTCCTGAATATTAACATTGTCTATATTGCTTAAAGTTCTTTTATTCCAAAAAGTCCATATTCTGTTTTCCCCCCTTTGTGCACATCTCTCTTTTTTAAGATGAAAATTAATTTTAGTACATAGCCAATGATTATCAGTGATTCCCTTTAATGTCATCAAATACCCAGTATACAGATGTTCCTAGTTGTCTCATAAATGACTTTTTACAGTGAACTTCGTTTGAGTCAGGATCCAGACAAGGTCCCCGTATTGTATTTGGTTGACAGAGTATATCTATTTTTATCAAACTTTGTCTCTCCAGAGTGAATGAAGAGTTCTCATCTTTTTAGTCTGGCATGGCTGCTTCCCATTCGATCCCAACATAAACTAACTACATCTGTTTTATTATTCTTTGTTGTCTTCAAGCATATTTTGTTAATATATTGACTGTTTTCTGGTTGTCCTCAGGAGGAGGATTGGTTTGAATTACTTAGTTTACCGTTGCCAACCTGTATTGTTTTAAAATCATGTGTACGTATCAATTGCCATTGAAATGAAGAGAGAATATGTAAGTGAAGCTGAAGGATAACATTGAAACATATTACAGCCAAGCAATTGAGTCAGACACAGATTTTTCCCTAAATTCACTGATTCTATATTATCTCATCAGAGTTATGAAGAAAAGTAACAGGACAGTAGAAAGAAGATATTTTTAACTTTAATTTTTTTGCAGTAGTTAAGAAAACAATATAGAATGTAAGTGCTAATTAAATAAATGCCCATTTTTTTCCCTTTTTCAGAAAATAGAAGCACGAGTGTCTGCTGATGAGGACCTCAAACTTTCTGACCTTTTAAAATATTACTTAAGAGAATCTCAAGCTGCTAAGGTAACTTTATTGTTCATTGTTTTTTTAAATGGACTGTTTTACAAAAAGACATTTCTTTAAAGGTTGTTAGACTTAAGATTATTAAAGATGATTTATCCCTTGATTTTAAATTATATTTTCAAGTGTGAAGGTTTTTTTTTTTTCTTTTTAGAAATTGTAGGTCAGGGAACCCACATAAAAGTTTCCTCTGTAAACTTCTGATACAGTATTCTCTGGAACTTTTTTAAAAAAATAAATTTGGTATATTTGTTCAGGTAAAGTGCCAGCAAAAACAAAAGCAAAACCCCGAAATAATAGTTGTGTAGCTGAAGAATTTCTAAATGGTCTATATAAGTCCTTTATTGAGGGTGAGAGATCCATAAAACAAGGATATGTTTTATTTTAAGGCAATTCAAATTTCGTTTTAGAAATCTGTAAGACTAAAACTTCCAATCAAAACAGTGTTTAACAATAACCTTTGAAAAATCTGTTAATTTATAAATTGAGATATTAGAAAATTCCCATTTGATCAGTGGTGCTTTGAACACTATTCTTTCATTCCTTATCAAAGTATATAACCCTTTTAACTTCGAGGACTTAGGTACTTGCGAATATACCATTCCTATCAATTTAAATGAGATTATGTCTTATAAACTATTTACATTGAATGGGCTGGGATAAAATGAAATGTTCACTTTTGAAGACTTTAGATTTATTATTTTATTATAATATGTAGTTGTTAATAGATAACTTTTTAGAACAGAACATGGCTTTAAAAGTAAATTCAAATTTTTTAGTAACCACAAGAAAGAATTGAAATTTAATTGAAAGAATTGAAATTTAATTGTAAGAATTAAAATTACAATGAAGTATCACTAAATACCTTAATTAGAATGGCTAAAATGAAAAAAAATCTGACAAAAATTACAGCAACTACAACTTTCATATACTGTCAGTGGGAGTATGATATAATACTTTGGAAAAGTTTTGCAGTTTCTTTAAAAATTAAATATAGACTATCCTATGATCCGATCCTTCTAGTTTCCGGTGTTTGAAAGCATATGTCCCCACAGATGTTCACAGCAACTTTATGTGTAATAGCCCAAACTGGCAACAACCCAAATGTCCATCAACAAATGAGTGGATAAACAAATTGTGGTACAGCCATACAGTGGAATGCTACTCAGTAATAAAAAGGAATGAACTACTCATACATGCAACAACATGGACGAGTCTCAAAATAATTTTGCTGAGTGAAAGAAGGAAAAAAATAGACTATAGTTTACACTAAAGTTCACTCTTAATGTACATTCTATAGGTTTAAACAAATATATGTATCATTCAACACATGACATGTATCCACCATTATAAGAAGTATCATACAGAATAGTTTCAGTGCCTTAAAAATCCTCTGTGCTCCATCTGTTCATCTTCCTTCCCCCTAAAGCCTATTGATTTTTTAAAATTATTATTTTCATAGTTTTTCCTTTTCCAGAATGTCATATAGTTGGGCCTTTTCAGATTGGCTTTTTTCATTTAGTAATATACATTTAAGTTTCCTCTTTTTCTTTTTGTGGCTTGATAACATTTCTTTTTAGCACTGAGTAATATTCCATTGTCTGGTTATACTCTGACCTACTGAAGGACATCTTGGTGTCTTCCACGTTTTGGCATTTGCGAATAAAGCTGCTATAAATATCCATGTACATAAAAAAAAAAAAAAGAAAAAGAAATAAAAAAATAAGTATCCATGTACAGGTTTTTGGGTGGATATAAGTTTGCAACTCCTTTGAGTAAATATCAAGGAGCGCAATTGCTGGATTATATGGAAAGGAGTATGTTTAGTTCTGCCAAACTGTCCTCCAAAGTGGCTGTACCATTTTGCATTCCCACCAGTAATGAATGAGAGTTTTTGTTGCTTCACATCCTCACCAGCATTTGGTGTTCTCAATATTGTGGATTTTGGCCATTCTAACAGGTGTGTAGTGGTATCTCATTGTTTTAGTTTCCATTTCCCTGATGACATATGATGTGAAGCATCTTTTCATATGCTTATTTGCCATCTATATATCTTCTTTGGTGAGGTGTCTATTTAAAAAATTGGTCGTTGGCCCATTTATTTTGGGTTATTCATTTTCCTATTGTTGAGTCATAGGAGTTCTTTTTATATTTTGGATAGCAATCTTTTATCAGATATCTTTTGTAAATATTTTTTCTTGGTCTACGGCTTGTCCTTCTCATCCTCTTGACAATGTCTTTTGCATAGCAGAGAATTTTTAACTTTAATGAAGTCCAGTGTATCAGTTATTTCTTTCGTAGATCTCACCTTTGGTGGTGTTTCTAGAAAGTCATGGCCAAACCCAAGGTCATCGGGATTTTCTCTTATGTTATATTCTTGGTGTTTCATAGTTTTGTATTATACACTTAGGTCTATGATCCATGTTAAGGAAATTTTTGTAAAGAGTGTAAGGCTGGTGTATAAATTCATTTATTTGCACGTGAATGTCCAGTTTTCCCAGCACCATTTGTTGAAAAGACTGTCTTATTTCCATTGTATTGCTTTTGCTCCTTTATCAAAGATCATTTGAGTCTAGTTTTGGGCTCTGTTTTATTCTGTTAATTCAGTATCACATTGTCTAGAATACTGTAGCTTTATAGTAAGGCTTACAGTAGGTAGTGTCAGTCCTCTAACTTTATTCTTTTCCCTTAATATTGTCTTGGTTATTCTGTCTTGCCTCTCCACATAAACTTTAGAATCAGTTTATCGATAATCTACAAATAACTTGCTGGGATTTTGATCAGGAATATGTTGAATCTATAGATCAGATTGGAAAGAACTAATTTTTATGTTTTTAAAATATTATAATATCCATGATCATGGACTCTCTCCATTTATTTAGTTCTATTTTTTTTTCAGAGTTTCATAGTATCCTCATATAGATTTTGTACATATTTTGTGAGATTAATACCTAAATTATTTCATTTTATGAGGTAATAATATAAATACTACATTTTTAATTTCAAAATTCAATTTTTCATTGCTGGTATGTAAGAAAGCCATTGACTTTTATGTATTAATATTTTATCCTACAACCTTATTATACTCACCTATTAATTCCAGGAAGTTTTTTGCTGTTGCTGTCAAATTCTACCTGAACAGTCATGCCATTTGTGCACAGTTTTATTTCTTCCTTCCTCATCTGTATGTTTCTTATTTCCTTTTCTTATTACAGTAGCTAGAATTTCCAGTACAATGTTGAGAAAGAATGGTGAAATGGGACATCCTTGTGCTGTTCCTGATATTAGTGGGAAAGCTTCTAGTTTCTCACCATTAAACATGATGTTAGCTGTAGGTTTTTTGTAGGTGTTCTTTATCAAGTTGACAGTTTAGTGAGGAAGAGAATAGACTTTTCAACAAATAGTACTTGGACAACTGAAAAGTTACATGAGAAAAATAAAGTTGGACCCCCTTCCTCACATCTTGTATAAAAATTTACTCAAATTAGATCAAAGACAAATGTAAGAGCTAAACCGATAACATAATTTTAAAAGAAAACAAATCTTTGAGACAGGCATTGGTTTCTTAGATGTGACAGCAGAAGCACAGCAAACAAAAAATAAATTAGACTTTATTAAAATTAAAAACTTTTGTGTATGAAATGACTCTATCAGGAAAAGGGAAAAAACCCACAGAGTAGGAGAAAATATTTGTAAGTCATGTAAGTCCCTATAAGCAACTGGCATCTGGAATATACAAAGAACTGTTAGAACTCAATAAAAAGAAATATAGCCCAATTGAAAAATGAGCAAAATACTTGAATAAATGTTTCTCCAAAGAAGATATACAAGTGGCTAATGAATACATGAAAAAAAATGTTCAATATTATTAGCCATTAGGGAAATGTAAATCAAAATGACAGGTTTCACTTCACACCCACTAGGTAGCTTTAATCAAAAAGAAGGCTAAGTCTTGACAAGGATGTGGAGAAATTGGAACACTCAATACGGTCAGTGCAGCCACTTTGGAAAAACAGTCTGGCAATTTCACAATAGGTTAGTTCTATTTAGAGTTACCAGTTGACCCAGTAATTCCACTCCTACGTAATGAGATATAAAAGAGAAATGAACTGAAAATGTCCACACAAAGACTTTACACAAATGTTCATAACAGCTTTATTTGTAATAGGCAAATAGTGGAAACAAACCAAATGTTTTATCAACTGATGAATGGATAAATCAATGTAATATGTTCATACAATGAAATATTATTTAGCAGTGAAAAGGAAAGAAGTACTAATTCATGCTATAACATGGAGTAACTTGAAACTTTATGCTAAGTGAAAAAGCCATACACAAAAGGCCACATATTATATGATTCCACATTTTAATGAAAAGTTCAGAATAGGCAAATCTGTAGAGACAGAAAGCAGATTAATAGGGGATGAGGGTATGGAGAGTGACTGCTAATGGATATGGGGTTTCTTTTTGGGTGATGAAAATGTTCTAAAATTGATTGTAGTGATGGTTACACAAGCCTGTGAGCATCCTAAAAACCATTGAATAAGTGCATTTTGAATAAGTGAGAAATATAGCGTATGAATTATGTCTCAATAAAGCTATTATAAAAAACATTTAAAAAAACATTTAGACAAGTAACTGGCTTGTAGTAGTCACTGTATAAGTGTGAGCTCTGATCGTGATTGGGTGATATGGTAGTGGTGGTGGCGAATGTAACTACTGGAAACATGAAGCTTGTATTATTGTGAAGCATTCCGTTTTATAGGATCTCCTCTATCGAAGATCTAGGTCATTAGTGGATTATGAAAATGCTAATAAAGCCCTGGATAAAGCAAGAGCGAAAAATAAAGATGTTCTGCAGGCTGAAACATCCCAACAATTATGTTGTCAGAAATTTGAAAAAATATCTGAATCTGCAAAACAAGGTACTGTTACAATAACCTTTAATCATAAAGATGCTTTACACTAGTATGTAAATTAAATAGTTAATCCCAGTTTCTTTTGTTCACAGAACTTATAGATTTTAAGACAAGAAGAGTTGCTGCATTCAGAAAAAATTTAGTGGAACTGGCAGAGTTAGAACTGAAGCATGCAAAGGTAGTGTCATTAAAGATTTAATAATTTAAGGAACTTATAATTTATAAATAAGTCAGTTATGAAATTGATTCCAAGGGATACTGTAAGAACTATTCCTGAATTGGAATTATGTTTTCCAAGATTATTTCACTCCTTAAAAATATTTAGTTTTAGTAAATAACTAGCCTTACAGAATTTTTTTTACAATATATGTTTACTTCAAATTAAGCCCTTTCTTGTAGTTAATATAAAGATAAAGCTTAGCCCAAACCTTACGGTAATTTTTAAAATGGAAAATCTTAGACTTGAGAAGGGTTTTAAAGATCATCTAATTCAAGCAGGAATAATATCTATAATATCTCTGATGGTCAGCTCTACAAAACTGGTAACTAATATGGAAACCAGTATTTTTTGAGTAGTATAAAAAAATATATTTTCCTTAATAGAAACATTCCTTAAAAATTTCCTTAACATTGCTATCTTCAGAGGGACTGAAAATTAAAAATGTATTCAAAATTCCCCAAACTATAAACAAGTATTAAAGAACTTTAACTTTCCAATGTTATTTTTTGACACATTTATAACATTTATGTATCTTAATTGATAAAGCTTAAACACAAAGCTACTTCTTTGTAACTTTGGTCAAAGTTTTGTCATCTAAAATATAAGAAAGATAGGTTTTCATTCCTCTTTTAGTTTACCCTTCAGATATTTAAATAGTTTGTATTATCTGCATATATTCTGTCCTCCAGGCTAGACATCCCTGGGCTAAATAGTTTTCATCCCATACACCTCAAAAAGCTTTTTATAATACTATTACTCTCCTGTCATTGCTCTTTTAAAATATTGCACCCAGAAATGAAAAACACTTTTAAAATAATACATAGACTGATTATTGTACACATTTCTTCTTACAGCATGTTTTATATGTATAGGGATTTTTTAAACTGTCATATCACACCAACTTGATTTGGCTTATAATCACACCTTTTTTCTTATTCGTCAGTTTATGAACCTTGAACCCATACTTGTGTGTTTATATTTTTTTTAGTAAGTTTATTCATCTTTGTGGTAAAAAAATATAAAATTTACTATCTTAACCATTTTTAAATGTACAGTTCAGTAGTGTTAAGTATATTCACGTTGTGCAGCAGACAGAATTTTTTTCATTTATTGAGCATTTGATATTTAAAATGTAATTGCAGATCACATTTATGACTGTTAAGTTTTAGCTTGCTAGTTTTAGCCCAACACATGCTAATATTTTAGAAACATGGATTTGATCATATAGTATTTATTATACCAGTTATTCCTTTCAGGTGATGGACATTTGTAATTTGTATGAACTTCCCTTTTATTAATCAAGACCAAAGATATCAACATTCATTAATCTAATTGTAAAAGTACGTGGTACCAAAAAAGGCTAATTATTAGGTCCCTTCCTTTCTTTCTGTGCTAGTTGGTATTAACTTATTAGTTAATATTCTTTGGTTATACTTATTTATATAGCTCTTCTAGTCCAGCGGCTCTTAACTGGAAGTGATTTTACCTGCCAGGAGACATTTAGCAACTTCTAGAGACATTTGTGGTTGTCACATAGTGGGGCAGGTGGGTTACTACTGGGATGCTGCGAAACATCCTACAATGCACAGGACAACCCCCACAAGATAGGAATACAGCCCCAAATGTTCAAGGTTGCCAGGGTTTGGAAACCCTGGTCTGTTGTCTCAGATTTCTTAATGATTTTTTAAGTCTGAGCAGAGTCCCATTTTGGTCCCAGAATCCACATAAGTTATTCCAAAAAGACTAAATAAGTTAAATTTACAGCAAGATGATTTGAAACTACTTTGATTCTATTTATTATAATGGGAATATGTGTTGCTACATACTTGAAGTCTGGTTACAACAGAAAAACTATGTAGTTAGGTCACTTTTGTGTCCTTGCAAATAGTCTCAGATTCTCTTAATGAAATATAAAGTATATAATAAGGGCAATAAAAAAAATGTGATGATGCTGACTATGAGGGTGTGAAGTGAGTCTTTATATACCCTGTTGGTGTAGGTTGTGGGTTAGTGCATACCCTTTTGGAGAGCAGTTTGGCATTGTGTCAGAGTGCAAGATGTGCACCTTTTTGAGCAGTCCCATTTGAGGAATGTACCTTTAAGAAGATAATTTTACAACTATAGATAGGCTCAAAGTCATTTGTCACTGTTCTGTCATTATATTGGCAAAAATTGACATTAACCTAAACACCTAAATTTTTTAAATGTTTATGTTTACTTAATGTCAGACTTTCAGAAAGTTGTAAGAAAAGAATTTCTGGATACTCTTCACCCAGATTCCCTAAATGTACATATTGTCACATTTGCTTTGTCCTTCCTCTCCCTCTCTTCCTCCCGCCTCACTTTTATACACATACACACACACCCCTGTACACACCTATTTTTGTCTTAAACCATTTGAGTAAGTTGCAAATTTAACACTTCTTCACTCTTAAACACTTCAGTGTGAATTTCCTAAAACCAAGTAATTTTCTTAAGTCCTTGTTACAGTAATAAAGATCAGGAAATAAGTACTGGCACAATGCTTATCTGATCCACAGGCCTTTATTCACATTCTACCAGTTGTCTCAATAATGTCCTTATGTGAAAAGGAAATTCAAGATAATGTTTGTATTCAATGCACATGTCTTTTTAAACTTCTTTAATCTGGAAAAGTTTCTGAGTCTTTGTATTACATAACATTGGATACTGAAAAGTACAGGCCTACAGAATGTTCCTCAATTTGAGTTTGTCTAATTATTGGATTTAGGTTATGCACTTTAGGCAGAAATACCACAGAAATGATGTTCAGATCTCACTGCATCATCTCAGCAGACACATGTTAATTTTGATCATTTGGTTAACGTGATGTCTACTTTGTGCAGTGATGGAAGTATTATCTAATCACTGTCCACTATGTAGCCACTAGCCTCATATGGTCATTGAACATTTGAAATGTGGGTAGCTGCACATAGCTAATGGCTATAGTATTGGCATTTTAGGTGCGTACTGTTTTTAGACTCTATTTATGATTTTTGCTGGAATCAGTTATTGTGATGGTTGCCAATGGTCATTTTCTAAATCCGCCATTCTTTATTCATTTTAGTTCACTTTGTACTCTAAGGAAGAGGTTATCCTTAACTCCCATTTATATATTAATGTAACCTAAATATACTTAAATTTGTCTTTACAGTCTCTAAATTTGGATGCCAGTTCACATACATGTTTTACAAATGGGTACTTGGATATAAATTTTATAGAATACTTTTATATGTTATCTTACTATTTTTATAAAAACTGCTATAAATCTATGCTAATATATAATTTAATGGCTAAAGGAAAGTGATAAGAACCTATCTTGTAGTCAGAAAACATTCAGTAGTTTAACTTGGACACAAAGGGCATATTTTATCCCTCATTAGAACATGCCAAATAATTCAAAACAGATACTTGTTTAGATGGAAATTTACTGAAGAATCTAATATGTGGAAAATATTGTACATGAAACAAATGTAATTTTATGTCTTTAAACCTTTATTTGTATATAATGGCTGGTTCCAAAATTCTTATATCTTAATAAATTTAAAGTTATGTGATTTCTGCTATTGTATATTTTCAGTAAGACTCTTCTAAACTATTTGAACTTCATAATTTATTGTCCCTTCCTTTTCAGGGTAACCTACAGTTGCTGCAGAACTGCCTGGCAGTGTTAAATGGAGACACATAAACCACACTCCACCTTCCGGTTAAAAAAGGGCTGCCTTCCTTCAGATTTTATTTTTCTCTTAATGATGTTAGGCATTTACTGCTCACTGTAAACAAAAGAAACAGCTGACAAAGTGCATCTTCTGTCCTTTTTTCTGAGAAACATGAAGTGGTGCCGTCCACAGGTGCTGCCAGTCTGTGGTAAACGCTGCACTCCAGCACCTGCGTGCTGCTCCCCAGGGCAGTTGTCACTCATCATGCGCTCTTCCTCTTCAAAAGCCCAAATTTCAGTCTTTTTCTTTTTTTTAAGTAGCCTCTATAACTGTGTTTATTTTATGAATAGTATTCCTTACGGCTGCCAATCTTATTTACCTTTAAGTAATTTCTGAAGTTTAACTCTTTCAAAATGTATTCTTCAAACGAGATAAAGATTGCCATTGCCTTTTTTTTTAATTTTATTAAAAAAAAAAATTGTATACCACCTTAGTTCATTCTTGTATCCTGGTTAAAAAAAAAAGCATCTTAATCAGATTTATTTTTAATATTTCATAGAAGTTTTGGGACAGACTTTATGTAATCTTTCTAAGTATGATTTCTGAAGAAAAGCAAATGCATTAGTATGTTTGCCTTAAACTTGTAGACTAAACCGACTATTGTCAAATAAACAGTGATAACAGTGATGGTTTTTAACTCTGGTCATTGTATCACTCTAAAATCTGGAGTAGCTATAATCTACTCCTATATAATGTTATACAGAGCAGGTCTTAGTTTTTCTTATTTCCTTTAAGACGGCATATTGAACCAAATTTGCCTATCCCTTTACAAAAGAATGAACTGCTTCTCTGTGCTTTTCATACTTCATGGAAGGTGGAATCTGGCAGAGGCAAGTTAGAGACAGCTGTTTCTAAAATACAGGAGCTGAGAATATGGTCTGTTAACGATTTCCTGGATTCTATCCCTAGCTCAGCCAATTAACCATGTGACATATGTCATTGAGCTACTTGGTAGTTAGGCCAGTGTGGAGAGAAGGAGGTCAGCTAAAGGGAACAGCACTTGATGGGAGAAAATTGCAATATTTGGAATAAGGGTACAAAAAGGATACTGTCAGTAGTTACATTATAAATATTGGCCTTTCTAATGTGAATGAACATTGTGTCATAGCTAGTTTAAAATTAGATTGAGTGGTTGGATTTTTCCAATGTCTTTTTCTAACTTCTAGAATTTGGAAACTGCAGGCATTTGGGTTGATTATCCTCAGATGGGTTCCTAGTGTGTCCATCTTCCCAAACCGTTCTGAAAAGTGCCTGTTCTAGGTCCCATGGCTAGTCACGAATATTCCAGCCTTCCTCTGCAGCATGTTCTCTTGCCTCACTGTTGTACTGGTTAATGTTTCTCTAACTGATGTTCCCTGATGCCATCTGAACTTTTGACTTTTTCTGTTGGCTAAGAGATGTGTGTGTTTTGTCCTTCATGTCACCCTCACTGGTGAAAATATGCCCATGTGATGCTCACCAGTGGGTGAACATGGGATGAAGCCCTAGCTTCTGGATTCGATGCAGACCCTTGTGGCCTCAGGCAGGTTCACTTAACCTCTCTCTGCCTCAGTTTCTCTACTATAAAGGACATACTGACCTACCTCACAGGGATGTTGTGAGGATTAATAAATGTTGGTACAGTGCTTTGGAAACGTGAAGATGCTGTGTAAATGCTAAGAGCGAACAAGTACAAGGCAGAAAGCTATACAGTGCTCCACATATCCATCAGCTAAATGTTTGTACTAAAGTGGCCTTTAGGGGAAAAGGGGGTAGAGAGGATGGTACATCCTTTGGCCCCTTTCATTTTCATTGAGTTTTTTTTTCTTTTGTTTCCTCTTACATTTTTAGAGTACTTGTTGAGGTGTGGGTAGACTGGAAGCAGCAAGGGAGGAGTGTTGCTTAATGTGAGTTGACTACCACACTGCAAGGGTCTTCTAACAAATCATACAAACTAGATAAAGCATGTATGTTAACTCCCTCATGGACATACTGAGGAAAGATTCTACTTTGCACCTCCAGAACAATGGAAACATTATTACATACCTCACTGCTTGTCCCTAATAAAAATAGACAGCGCTCCATTCACTGGTATTGAATTGTGGCATTCAGTAAGCATACATCTATCATCTCGTGCTTGGAGAACAAACCAAAGGTGAAACAGGAAGATTCCTATCTGCAGAGAAAAAGCCCTGCACGGACCATCCAGGGTTTCCCTCTAGTGATGCTTAATGCTGAAAGAGGAATGGGAGCGGGCAAGGCCTTGGGAATGGCCTGGGACTGAGAGATGAAGGGTTTATTGCAATGAGTGGAGGATAGGTGAAACCGCAGAAGTGGGTCAGGCCTGTAGATCAGTGAGGAAAAGACTGGTACCTAGTTCGGAAAGGCTTATACAATATTCTTAATGTTTTAAGTAAAAATAGTTGAGCTCAACGTGATCTTTTTGAAGTAGGCACTGCAGAAAATTTGAGTAAAATGGAAGAGTCAAGGATGGTTGGTTTAAATGGAAAAGTTCTGTGGGAGAATAGAGAGCGACTTAAAACCAAAGAGTGAAATTATACTTAAATCTCACATTACGATGTCTCTGGGTGGAGCGAAATGTCACCTCCATCCAGGCCTATCAATATAAAATCTAAGGGAGAACTCCGTATTAAAGTATAACAGACAAGACTCAACTTTCACCTCATCTCATTCCCAGCCTGCATCAACTCACTAGCCGGGACTCCTGCTTCCAGATTTGCCCCAGATACTCAAAAAAAACAACCTAGTGTAAAATAGTAAGCAAAGGCAAGTCTACGACTCAGTTTGGTGATATAAACCCAACTAAAAATTTCCCACAAAACACTTAAGCAAACGTAAACTTAAAAGCATTGCAAGGTTAAACATAATCCACCCACGTCTACTCTTAGTACAAATCAAATCAGGGGAGAGCGCGAACGCAGTCCCCCACTACCACAAATTATGCAGTCGAGTTTCCCACATTTGGGGAAATCGCAGGGGTCAGCACATCCGGAGTGCAATGGATAAGCCTCGCCCTGGGAAAACCACCTTCGTGATCATGGTATCTCCCCTGCCAGGTAAGTATGAGTTGCTCGGCTCGCCTCCACCCGAACCCGCGCGCTCGCCTCGCTCTTCACGCACGGTCACTTCCCTCGCGTGGACTCCGCACCCTCCCTGCTTCGAGGCCCCTCGCCCGGACCTGCCCCGTCGGGAAAACAACCCCGAGAGCATTTGCGTTCTCGGGTCGCGGGCCGCGGAGGTGCAGACGGAGCAGGACCGGCAGCCTCTGCGCGCCTGCTCATCTACATACGACACGCCCTTGTGACATCTCCAACGTCTTGCTTCCGGTTCTGACCCGCTGTTGTCTCGCGGACCAGGCGGGTCCAGGTGAGCGCTCAGCGACCACTCTGGCACCTGCGGGTGGGAACCTGAGAGCACGCGATCTCACTGAAACCGGGGCCAGCAGTTAGACCCGCCCCAGGGCTCGGGGCTTGGGGTTGGTCACACCATCATTTCCGCGAAAATGACGCGCAACAATGTCGATTAAATGTTAAATACTGTCTAACCCATGTACTGTATACTTGAAACTAATTTTTAAAAATGTTAGTTTCGTCACCAATTTCACATGAAATTGTTTTAATCCTCGTTCATGATATTTGTTTATGTAGTAACCTAATCTTGCAACAGTAAAAGGAAAATTTTAACAGAGAATATCAGGGCAAGGTGTTAGTTAAAGCGGTAGCTGTGTGGGCTGGAGGGGGTGTTGCATGTTCTCTGAAAATCAAAACAGAAATGTCACATTTCCGTCCTAGGGGATTAGGTTGCCTCTTTCAAGCTGCCTGGTTTGTCTTTTTCTCTTCCATACAAGAGTATTCCTGATTGAGATCAAGTGGAGGTTAAAGGTGCATCCTTCTCAGGTGTGAGCAAAATGATTGAAATATGGTGTGTTAGTGAGTGGCCAGTGCTATGCAGCAAAGCACAAGAGACAGACATTAGAGATTAGGCTCCCCTGAGGTTCAAGCTGCAGAAATTTCCGAAGTAATGTATTGCAGCATCCTTTTTGATTATTGGTTGTTTCAAGGAGTTTCCTTTCCTAGCATGTACTAAAAACAAAGGATTCTCTTACCCAAACCCAGTATAATTATCAAAATCAAGAAATTAACATTGATACAATGTTAATATTATTTACTCTACAGACATTATTCAATTCCCATCAATTTTCCCAGTAACATTCTTTATAGCAAAGGAAAAATTCAAAACCACATGTTGCATTCAGTTGTGTCTCTTTAATCTACTTTAATCTGGAATAGTTCCCAAGTCGTCCTTTGAATTTCATTATGTAAGTATTTTTGAAAACTACAGGCAAGTTATTTTGTAGAATATCCTTTTATTTGGGGGTTGTCCAATGATTCCTCATAATCACATTCAGGCATGCATTTCTGAAACAAAGACTACATAAGTGATTTTGTGACTGTTAGGGGTTGACTTGTGTTCCTCCAAAAAATACATTGACATCCTAACCTCTGGTACCTAACCTCTGGAATGTGCATGTATTTGGAAATATGATCTTTGCAGATACAATTGAGATTACTAGAGTGGGCCCTAATTCAATATGGCTGATAACTTTATAAGAGGAAAATGCCATGTAAAGACAGAGTTGAGGAGAATGGCATGTGATGACAGAAGCAGAGATTGGAGTGATATAACTACAAGCCAAGGATTGACTGTCACCACTAGAAGCCAGGAAGGGGCAAGGAAAGATTCTACCTAGAGTCTTAAAGGAAGTGTGGCCCTTCTAATACCTTGATTTTGGACTTCTAGCTTCCAGAACTGAGAGAATTGTTTAAATAAATTGTTTAAATAATAAATTGTTTAAATACATCATTTACATAAATTGTTAAAACTGTTGTTTTAAGCCACGAAGTTGGTGGCACAGGCGTACCTCAGAGATATTGCAGTTTTGGTCCCAGACCACCATAATAAAGTGAGTATCATTAAAAGAGCAAGCTGTAATTTTTTTTGCTAGTGGATAGTCTTGCCTTCCATTTGGTAAAAAAGAAAAAAATGCAACATCTGTGAGGTGCAATAAATTGAAGTACGATAAAATTAGGTACATCTATGGCCATGCCACCCTGAACATGCCCGATCTCCTCTGATCTCGGAAGCTAAGCAGGGTTGGGCCTGGTTAGTACTTGGATGGGAGACCACCTAGGAAGACCAGGTGCTGTAGGTGTTAAAAAAAAGAGGTATGCCTGTACTTTATTATGACAGTCCTACCAGTGATACTGTGTCCTCCTCTGAGTGTCACATTTAAAGGCACATGAAGTATGTGTTCAATTATTGGTGGTGTTAATATTGATTAGTTGGTTAAGGTAGTGTATCTGTTATCCATTGCTGAGTAACAAACTGCCCCAAAACGATTTAAAATAACAACTATTTTATTTGCTCACAATTCTTTGGAGCAGCAATTCTGGTTGGGCTCAGCTGGGCAGTTTTTCAGGTCTCAAGTGGGATCTCTCATACAGCTGCAGTCCAGTTGGGGCCAGTCTAAGGGACCTCGACTGATATGATTTATCTTTGACAAGCTAATCCGGGCTTTTTCCAATAGGTTCTAATAGATTAACCTCCTGTAGGTTCATCTCCAATAGGCTAACTTGGGCTTTTACTCATGGTGGTCTCAGGACAGCAAGTGTGATCAAGTTTCAGTGAGAAAATGCTTTTCAATCTTCTATTGGCATCATGTTTACTGATGTTATTAGCCAAAACAAGTCACATAGCCAAATCCAGGGTCAATATGGGAGGGTACTACAGAAGCAAATCGGTGCACATGGGGCCAGTACTACAACCATCTGCCAATAGAGGTGTTCACCAGATTTGCCCTTTGTAATTATTAATTTGTGTGGAGATAATTTGAAGATATGTAAATATCCTGTTCTTCATCAAACTTTAACACAATAGTTTTTAGCATCCGGCAATGACGCCTGCTATGTGATTGTCAAATGTCGATTTTAGAATTCCATCATTTTTTACATTTATTAGTTGGTGTTCAAGTGTAAGAAAACATTTTCCTTTCTTCCCTCATGTACAATCAATATGAACTCGTGATTATTATTCAGTTGTTTATACTCCATAACCATTTTAATTTATTTTGAGGTTCAAATGTTCTCATATTCGATCTATAAAAGCCCCTTCAAGTTAACTCCTTTGAGATGTTCATATAATTTTTGGAGCATTTCCTTATTTTATGGCACAAGATGTTCCAAGCTTATCCAGGGAAGAAGTCACCTTCCTTGATTGTTGAGAATCATCTATTTCTCCAGAGAGTCCTGGTTCTTTTCAGTGGTAAATGGCATTAAAAAGCAAGGGCACGGCACTAGGTATACTAATTGCTACTGGGTGTCTTTGCTTCTAGGCCCCTTCAGTGAATACAGCTAAGAGATAAATATATTTCCTATACATACTAACAGCTATTAAAAATAATGAGCCCACACTGATGTCAATTTCAGTTTCCAACTTAAAACCACTATGGAAAACAGCTTGACGGTTTCCTATAAAACTAAACATGCAATTATCATACAACCGAACAACGGAACTGCTGGGCATTTATCCCAGGGAAATGAAAACTCATACGCACACGAAAAACCTATACATGAATGTTTCT